GTTTTTTTCTCGTTAAAAAAAAAAAAAAAAAAAAAAAAAAAAAAAAAAAAAGAAATTCTCATTTTTAATTAAACTATGTGAAATTAAAATTTTTTATAATATAAAAAGAATAATGTGAATCTGCCATATTATTTTATGATTTTATTAATATTATTTGAAAAAAATGATCAGAAAAAAATTAGAAATATAATTTAGACAAAGTAAAAAAACAAAAAAAATTAGAAGATAAATAAAAATGATAAAAAAGGAATTAAATATATACAATAAACTCGATAATATATTATTGGATGTATTAGAAAATATAGATAGAGAACTTAAAAATTTTGGTGAAAAAGTGAATGAACGTGTATTTAGAAAATTTTACGAACTATTTAATAAGGAAAGTTATATAGAAAAATTAAATTATAATGATTTAATAAAAAGTTACAAAGATAAAAACATCCATAAGTATTTATTTTATATGTTCGAAAGTTTACTTAACAAAATTATCTTAACAAAAAATATAAATTATGTAGATTTTTTATTCCTAATTTTAAGATATATTACATATTTGTGGGTCTTTTTATCTAAAGACGATAAATTAGTTTTAATATTCTATTATTATTTTAAGTTTGTTGATTTATTAATTAGCTTAAAATTCATTAAATGTTCTTTTTTAATAAATTTATATAATATTTTTATTTATTTTTGCATTAAAGATAAAAAAAGAATTATTTTTTCTACAAAAACTTTAAATGAGAAAGAAGTAAGTGTTTATATAAAAGAAGTAATATTAGAGTTAAATAAAATTATTATAAATGAAAACATTAATTTTATAAAAAGCTTTGAAAAAGAAGATTTTATTGATTTTCAAAATAACGTATTGGAAAAGATTCATAAAATAAATTCAACAAAAATTGAAGATGTAAGTAATATTAATGATTATAATTTATATAATTACATATGGATATGCTATTATGAAGATGATAATAGTCTGGGAGAAAAAAAAGGAGATAATGAGAAGCAACAGAATAAAAAAATAAAAAATGAAAGTGAAAAAAATTTCTCTTTAATATTAAAGCATGAAAATTGTAGAAATACTAGAAATATTTTAGGTTTGAATTTCTTTTCTATTAATAATAGCTATAATATGTTTTTGAACTTTATTAAAAATTTGTTTAAAATAACATTTTCTGATTTTAATATGTTTTTTTTTTTTTTGAATTTATTAAATTTGGAATTATTTTTTATTTATTTTCATATTTTTGAGATAATGTTTTATATAAAAACAGTAGATAATGAAAAGGAAGAAACAAAAAGAACAAAAATAACACTACTTAGTAATAGTACTAACAACTGTTCATCTCCTATATTAACAGAAAAAAATAATAGATTGAAAAATAAAATAGATAATATTAGTGAATGCATTTTTTTAAATAACAAAAATAAGAAAATATTATGGAGTTTTATGTTTGATGAATTAAGAAAAAAATTTGTAGCTGATACTAAAAATGTAAATTATACACTGAAAGTTTTAAAATTCACTTTTAGTTTTTTTTTATTTGAAGAAAATTTTTATTTAAAAAATAAACAGAGTGAAAATTACATAAAAAAAAAGGAATATAATTTTTCATTTATCTCACCAATATACTTAAGTGAATTGTTAAAATTTTGTTTAAGTTTTCTTTCTAATTTAATGAATTCTAGAAATCTAGATGACGAAGTTATTTTCAAAGCTACTTCTTATTTATTTTATCTTTTGTCCAAATTAATATGCAATATAAATAATAATATAAAAAGATTTATTTTATTAAATAATGATAATAACTTAAGTTTTATCTACATTATTTCTTATATTCATAAGTATTTTAAAAAACTTTATATTGATAAGAACACAGAAGAAATATTACAAAGTAAAAAATCAGAAAATGGTTCCACTTATAAATTAAAATATTCTTTTATAACATTAGAAAGATTATATAAGAAAATTCAAGAATGTTTATATATTGTTTTAACGATTGATGATTTCATTGAAAAGCATTTAAAAAAATATATAGATATAAATAATAATCCTTCTAATAATTATGACTTATATGTTTGTGTAATTATTAAAATAAATAAAATTAATGTGTTTTATTCTAATTTAGATATCATTAAAATATTGTCTGAAAAAGATAAAAGTGTGTTTAGAAAATATATATATACAATAAATAAAAATCATGAAAATTTTATTTCTATGTTTTCCTCTATATTAAATATAGATTATAAAGAAAATGAAAATGAACTAATTTTAAAAAAATATATTTTAGATTTAAAAAAAAAAAAAAAATATAAAAGTAAAAAGCTAATAAAGTTAATGAAACCTTATCATTCCCCATTGAAGTACATTATTTTAAAAAATGAAATTAATAAAAGTGATACAAAAAGAAATTCTTTAAAAATGAACAAAAAAAAAACAAATGAACAATTATATAATAATTTAGAAAAAGAGAGTAACTACAAAGAAGTTAATGACTCTAATGATGGAGATAGCATTACAGATGAAAATGATTATGAAAATACAGATGGAAATGATTATGAAAATACAGATGAAAATGATGATGAAAATACAGATGAAAATGATGATGAAGATACAGATGAAAATGATAATGAAGATACAGAAGAAAATGATGATAATAAACGTGATGCATTTAATTATGAAAATAAGGAATATTTAAAAATGAAGAAAACGAAAATGAATACAGGGAAAATAAAAAAAAAAGATATGCCTATATTCGAAAATTCTATTTTTTATATTAACAAAAACTTTAAAAAAGGAAATATTGATTTAAAAAATTTTTGTCATAATATAATTTTATCTGTGAAAAGATGTATACTTATTTCAGAGAGTATCCTTAACTATTTTAAAAAGAGTGATGAATATGAAGTTCACTTTAATATTTTTATTTGTAAAAATATATTTGTTAATTTTTTAAAAATATCTCTTTTAAATATTAGTTTTTTTTCTTATATATGTTCCAAATTAAAGTATGATGATGTTTTAAAACAAATTTATGACTCAAATTTAATAATATTAGCTTATAATATTTTTGATAAATATGTTAGTTTTGTAATGGAGCAAGATATTGATAAATTAAATAAATATAAAAACAATTTTAATTTTTTTTTTAAAAACTTAAATAAAAAAGAAAAAATATCCAATAAATCCAATGAAAAATCGTCTTTTTATTGTCATTTATATCTTGATGATATATATGAAATATTAAGTGATAAAGAACATAAAAACAACTTTTTTTTATCTGATAAAAATGAATTTATTGAAACATTATATTTAAATACTTTTTTATTTATTATAAACATTATATCTGTATGGGAGATTTACTTAGAAATTCCTTTGGAAGTTCTAAACAAAATGAAATATACTTTTTTTGAATTATTTTATAATACTACTATTAAAATTATAAAATTTATTAAAAAAGATAAAAGTTTCTTTTTTTTATTAAATATTTTAAAATTTATTTATACAAAATTTATTAGTTTGCCTTTTAATCCAATAAATATAAATACAACAATTAAATTGTACGGTTTTTATGAATTTCTCATTAATGATAACTATATTGATATAAAAAAGGAAGATAATTTTAATAATGATAATAATGATAATAATTATTTAAATTCTATTAGTCCCATAAAATTCCTAAATAATAATATAGGTGAAACAAATGACAGGAATAAAGACATGAGCAATTTTAACAACGGTAATGTATTGAGTATCAATAAAAAAAAAAGAGTAAGCATGGGAGGTTTAATTCCTGTATTTTTAAATAATGAAAATGTAAAAAAAAGGAAAACAAATATTGATTATATATCTTATAATATTTTAGACAAAGAACATTTTTCAAATTCTACAAGAAAAAAAGATTTTATATGTAATGATGATATATTAAAAAATATAAAAGAAAATAGGAATATAAAATATAATTTTGATGAAAACGTAAATGAAACACCAAAGTACAATAATATAACAAATTTAGCTTCAAAAGATGAAGTAGATGAAGATAATAAGAATAAAGATATAAATAAATTTAGAAATACATATTTGAGTAATTATTATATACCACACATTGACTTATTATTTATTATTATAGATTTAGAAGTGTTTTATTACTTTGAAAAAAAAAATTATAAAAAAATAATCGTCATTGTTGAAAATATATTGAATAAAATAATAAGTAAATGTGATTATAACACAAAAGAATATTTGAGATCATCTATTTCTTACATCTATAACTATTATCAACAAATATATATTACTAATAATAAAATAAATATTCAAAGTTGTACGGTTATTAGGCATATATTTAACCTTTATGTCAAATCTAAGGTGTTTTATTTAAGCAAAAAGATAAAAAAGTTTATGCTTTATTATAAAAATAATTATACAAATAATGATTTATTAAAATCAAATTATAATAAAATATATAACAATTTGTTAAATGACAATAAATGGAAATATTTTTTTTATTTTAATAAAGTTGTAAGTATTAATCAAGATAAAAAAAGAAAAGAAAAGAAGAAAAAAATAATAGACAATTTATTAGCCATACATATTAACACTCTATTATTTCTTATATTTTATGAATATTTATCAAAATATATAACTAAAAATTTTATATTTTTTTTTAGATTCTTACTTTTTTTGTTTAACAAATTATGTATTGATATTTTAAAGTTGGTGAATAAATCGAATCATTTAGAATTTTTCAATATTTTTGATTTTATAAATAATTATAATGAGGAACAGGGAGAAATAATGCAACAATTAAAAAGGAAATTATGCAATAACAATAAATTAATGAATGAAAATGAGCTTATTTATCCAAAAGAAAATATTAAAAAAATAAAAAAAAGTATGAACAAGCAAGTTATTATAATTGATATTGAAGAATTATTAGTTACCTATATTCAAATAAATTTTATTTTTTGTAGATCATGTTGTTTTTTTATTTTTTTTAAAAATGTTTGTTCTCAAAAATACGAAATAATTTTAAAAGAAAATATTACTCATAATTATTTTGAAAAATTTAAAAATAATAGGGATTTCTTTGACTTTTTTGATTTTAAAAAGGAGGAAAAAAAAAGTAATGAAAAAATTGATGATGAAAATGTAAAAAATGAAACATTAGAGAATATGGATGATATAACAGATAAAAAATTAAATGATTCTTATGATGAAAATTCAATTGAAAAATATGAAAATGATTCCAGTAGCTTAAATGCATCCCAATCAAGTTTTACATTAATAGAGTATACTGATTATTCTAATAATTTAGATTATGTCTTTTTAGAATTTATTTTAGAAAAAATTGAAGAAATGGATGTAGATTATTATTATAAAAATATTTTAAAAAATTGTTACTATGTGATAAAAATAGAAACATTTTATAATTATATCTACAATAACACAGAAACATTAAAGAGATTCTTATATTTAAATAATGTTTATTATTTATATAAATTATATTATCACATTTTTGTTTGGAATAATGAATTATGTCAGAAAAAAGACATAATAACGAAAACACAGATTAACAATAATTTGTATCCAAATAACAATATATATAATAATATATTTGATATGTTTACTTTAAATAATATTTTAAGAGAAAAATTAAATACAAATTATATAAGACTAAGAGATTATGATAATTACTTTTTTGATGCAAATACTGATCATATGAATAGTCAAAATTTACAAACCCAATATAATAATGAAGATATAATAAATAACGTTAAAAATAATAGTTTATGTAAGTATAATAGCAGAGAAAATGATTATTTTTTGTGTAATATATATAATTTTAAGTTAAAATTATTTCATCCTTTAAATATGGAAAATAATTTAAATAAGGAAAAGAAAAACATATATAATAGCTTATTAATTATTAATAAAAATTATTTAATAAATTTAAAAGTAAAATATAATAAAATGAAAAAATATATAAATAACTATATGTTATGCATTTACTATATAGTACTATTTTTTTATTTCAATGAATATATAGAAAAAAATAAATTGTCCTTTTATTATATAATATATACCTTTCAAAAAGAATATGACATATTTAATATCAATTTTTATAATATTTCCTTCAACGAAAAAAGGAAAAGCAGGGAAAAAAAAAATTTTTATTCTTTCAAAATATATGAACAAAATGATTTAAAGAGAAATATTTTTCTTATCTTTGAAATTTTAAATAATATATATGATATATATTATAACAACACATTTGAAAAGGAGCATTTATTCAATGAAGTTGTATTAAAAATTGATATAAAAATAATTGGTTATTTAAGTGAAATATACAAAATTGCATTTCTGTATAAAATGTTTTATCATTGCATACATATTTTATTACTATGCATAATTTTTACATCTAAATTTTGGTCTATATTCATATTTAATGAAAAATATGAGTATAAAAATATTTGCAAAAATTTAAATGAAAATAATAAAGAAAAGGAAAATAAGAAGACAGAAAAAAACAGTGATGAAGAAAGTAAAATGGATAAAAATGAAGAAACATACAAAAATAGTGTAAACTCAAAAGAAAAAAATAAATATGTTTTTATTAATGACATAAAAAATAAAAAAGAAAAATATAAATTCAATAAAAAATATAAACAAAGCAAACAAAGGAGAATATATATATTAAATATAATTTATAATAAAATAACGTCGAATGTAAATGAAAATAATATTAAAAATATATATAATGAATTACATAATTTTATGCAAACGATAATAATTTGTGTGTCTATATTTTATTTGGCTTTTATGTGTTTTGAAAAAGTATGTAAGAATAAATTTAATATACTTTTTTTAAATTGTGCTAATATTATATATTATTATTATTTAGACTTTTTTGAATATATTCAGAAATTTTGCGAAAAATATTGCGCAGATAAATTATATTTATCCAATTTTTTTTTTGATACTTTTCATTTAGATCTAATTAATTTGAAATTTCAAGCTCATGTAAAAGCAAAAATATATAAAATGGAATTAGAAAAGGAAAAAAAAATAAATAATACGGTAAATAAAAAAGTGATTCGTAAAAATATAAATGGTGACAAGCATAGTAAGAATAAGATGATCATACAAGCAGAGGATAATCATAAAAAAGTTAATAATAGTGATAATGATGACATTGATGAAAATAATTTCATATATTTATATAATTATTCAGAACAAATTCAGTTAAATTTTTCTTATTTGTTTTATTACAATGAAAAGGTATTTAAAGAATGCATTTATATTTTAAAGAAAATAGAAAAAAAATACGAAAATGATCATAAAAGCTTTTTTAAAAATAATATTTGCTTATATTTTAATATTATTAAATATTTATATAAGAAAAAAACAAAATATTTAAGTCTTTTATTATTTGTTAACACCTACATGATTCCAATAGTAACCTTTATGAAATTTACTATGGTTAAATATTTTTCTTACTTTAATATATCCTCTGATTTTTTTTCTCTTAAATTTGAACATCCTTTATATGAATTTGACATTGATATGATAACGAAAATAAAAAAAACAGATGATGAAAAAGAAAACTTAAAGATGAACAATAAAGTTATCCTTATGAACTTGGAAAATCTTTTTTGTAATATGTTTTTAAACAAAGACATTTTTTATTATATAAAATTTATAAATTTATATTATAAGAAAATTTCTAAAATCCTATATAAAGTAAATAATTTTCTTCTTAGTTATTATTATTTAAAGAAAAATATTTTATTTATATGCAATTTAATTTATTTTCCTGAAATTATTCATAATTATTTTTTATTAACAAATATTATTCTAACCTGCGGGAAAGAGAGAATTGAGCTATTAACTCAAGAAGAAATATTTTTTGAAAATTTGAATGATGATTTAGGTATATATGAAAAAAAAAAAATTGAAAATAATGAAGAAACAACAAATAAGCAAAAAATAAAAGACATTGATGATTTTAAAATTTATGAAGATGAAGATTTTTTAAATATTAACTATGAAGAAACTCCTCTCAATACGTATTTGACAAAAAGGCATATTTATGAATATAAAAATTTATTAAATAAATTTTTTGATTATTTAAATTTAATAATAAAAAATATTGATGATATGAATATTTTGACCACTAAATATAAAAAGGAAATTCTTTACATATATTGTTTAATTATTTTTAAAAAAAAACAATCACATAATTTTCACAGTAGTACAAAAAATATACAACATAAAGAAGAATCTCCTACCTGTGAAACAAATAAAAAAATATGTAAAAAGAATAAAAATGTTACTCCAAATTTTAAATGTAAAATTAATTTACATGAAAAGATAGAATCAGTAGACAATATGATTTTAAAAGATGAAATAAATTTAAAAAATAATAATTTAAATGAAACTAATCAACATACAATATTTGATATAAAAAATGGAAATTATGATAAAATAAATAAGTTTCAAAATGAAAAATGGACTGATGAAATAAATTATTTTGACAAAAGTTTTTTGACATGTTTTAACAATTGTAACAAAAAAAAAAAAAAAGTTTTTTTTAATTTTTTTTTTGAAAATCTGTTTCTTATAAATAATGTAGACACAGATATATTTAACATTTCAATAGACAATGAAGAAGAAACCACTAATATTATAAAAACACATATTCTAAATGATATAAATAACATTAAAATTATAAATTATAATAATGAATGGTGCAAAAATAATTTTAAGGCAAGTAGTGAAAATTTAGATGAAAATGAGGCAAATAAAAAGGCAAATATAATAGAAAATGAATTTTATGATTTTAATAATTTGAATTTATGTATAGGTACCTTTAAACTAATTGATATTTCAGTTTTAAATTATTTATATTTAAATTATAATTTTAAGGATAATTTAATTTATGTTAGAAATTATGTCAATAATAGATTATTTACTTATAATTTTAGAAGAATGAATTCCTATTTTGTTAAAATATTATTATATTATATAACTTTGTTATTCTTAAACATAAAAAATATATTTTGCGATGACTGCATATATACTATAAAAAAACAACAATTTTTAAATTCTTCAGCTAATGATTGTTCTCGTAATATTTTTTTTTTGTTATTTTTTAAAATTTTTAATTTTTTTAATTTTACTAAAGAAACTTTAATTGAGATATGTTCTAATTATTTTCCAGGCAATAAATATCATAAATATTTGGAAATTTTATTAAAAAATAATGAACAAAAAGATGATACTATCAAAATTAAAAACATTTTTAATGAAAACAGTCTACATAAGAGAAATTCAGAAAATGTATCTAATTACTTATCTGATTTTAATGAAAATACATCTAATGATTATGATAAAACACTATTTCTTAATTTTGTTGAAATTTTTTTATTTCCTTCTAGAGAATGTAGTTATTTTGAAGTATTAACTATTTGTTATGAATTTTTAACAAATATTAAAGAAACAAAGAGTAAAGATATTAGGAAAAAAAAAAAAAAAAAAATGTATGATATTTTAAAATATATTATTATAAAAGAAGAAAATTATAAAACAAATTATTATTTTCAAACTATTTTAATATATTTATCCTTATTACTATATAATACTTTGAAAAAATCGTTTATCTATGAAATGAGAAAAATAGCTCAATTTTTTTTAGACTTTGTTTTTTTTTTCATAGAAAATATAAAAAATAATTTAATTATTTTACAAATTATAGAATCTTATGCAAATAATTTATATAATTTTAATGAAAATAAGAATAATAATACATTTTTCATTAAAAAAAAAAAATATTTTTACTTACTAAAAGTTTATTTTAGAAAATTATTATCTTTATTTTATTTATATACAGATGAACTAATACTATATACAATTAAAAGTAACATAGATCAGGAAATTAGTCAAAAAAATTATTATAGAAAAAACTTTAACAAAAATTTAAATATTGGCATTATTTGTAATTATGAATATATAAATCAAATGGATTTAAGTAATTTATGTTTTTATTGGGATTATTCAATAGTATCAATGAGTCATGATAGAAGCGATTTATATATTGCAAGATGTATTAAGAACTTTCTTCTATTATTAATTAAACTATTTAAAGAAAATAATATAGATAAAGAAATCTCTTTAAGTATTGAAAATGAAGTAGATAAAGAAATCTTTTTAAATGAAGAAGAGAATTTAAATAAAGAAAATTGTTATTATTACTATGAAAAAATATTTAATTTTTTTAATATTCTAAATAATAAGCAAATGCTAGAAAAGATGTTCAATGTTGATGATATACATTTGATTAAAGATAACATAATGGATTCTTTAAATGATAACAAGCATAATTTGAAGGATTCTATCAATGATAAAAAAGTATTTGAAGATTCTGATTATAATACTGATTTTTATAAAAAAAATATTTATTTAAATAATGAATCATTACATGAAGAAAAAGAAGATTATGAGAACATTATTAAAAAAAACAAAATTTGTGATTCATCATATATGTATAGAGAAAACGATGAGAAAAAAAGTGAAAGCAATATAGTACATTATAATTTCAATTTAGAAAAAAATATGAACAAAGAAAGATTAAATAATATGAATGAAGAAAATATATTTTTTCATTTTAATTCAAAGATTATATATGATGATAAAAATAAAATCAAAGAAAAAAGTGAAGCAAATTTAGATGTGCTATATTTTTTCTCATCTTTGTATAAAGACGCCAATAATTGTATCAATAAAAAGAAATATGAATATTTTCATGTTGATAAAATACATTTAAATATAGAAAAATATACTTACAAAGAAAAATGGAATTATATAAAAAAATTAGAAAGAATTTTAAAACAGTACCAGCATATGATAAAAATAATGTGTGAAATATTACATGAATCAAAAAATGTTGACAAAAATAGAAGTAACTTAAAAATGTTTATAGATTTATGGTGGAATAATAGATATACGTTAGAACAACATTTGAAAATACTAAATTTAGATATATCTAATAATTTAGGTTTTTCTATACATAAATTAATATCTATTCCTTTAATTATCTTGAACACTAAAAAAAAAAATTTCATCAATGAAAATAATAATAATTCAAATGATATTTCAAAAAAAAAATTTATAACAAATGAAGAAAATGACAAAAATGTAAATACATATATATTCGATACTATATCACCTGCTAATAATCAAAAATATTATTTAAAAAGCAATTTTGATATTTTTGTAGCTCTTTTTTATTATTCTAATATGTTAAATATTATTTCATGGATAAACAAGTGGAAAAATTTTTTTCTTTCAGTAAAATATTGGGACGAATTAAATTTTATAAATATTCTTTTAAATTTAACTGTTTTTTCTATTGTTATAAAAAATTGTAATGTTCAAATTATTCAAGTTAAGAAAAAGTATTTGAAATTTAATTATAATATAAAAAAAGAAAATAATAATAATAATAATAATAATATGACAGTAAAAAATAATTCATTAGATATAAATAAAACAGCAACATGTTATTTACCTTTTTTTAATAAAGATATTGAAACCATATTAACATTAGAAAAGAAAATTGAAAAGAAAAAAGGAAGAAGACACACTTATTCTGAAAATCTAAATTTACAAGAAAATAATGATCAAATAGATACGACTAATAAATCAAGTTATGAAATAAAAGAAAAACAAAATAATTTAAATAAGAATTATACTAATCCACTAGAGGAAGATAAAAATGAAACAATATCGAACATTGAACAATATAGAATTATTACACCAGAATTAAAAGAAAATACTTATTTGTGTGATATCGATAATAATATTAAGAATATTAGAAAAACTACTAATGTAATTAATGACTTAAATAATTCAGATATATATGATAAACATGTTGATATAAGTGAAAAAAAGAAAAAAAAAAAAAATGACAAAAGATTAAATTCAACAATTTACGAATATTTGAGTCCAATGAAAGTAGATGATTCAGGAAATTCTAAAAATAAGAATGATAATGATTTTTTGAAAAATAAACGAAAAAGAGTTACGATAGCAGGAACATTAAATCTGAATGAAATAAGGAAAGATAGAGAGAAAAAAGAAAATAATTATTTAAAATATTTAGATTTAAAAAAAATATGTGATAAAGGTATATTAAAATGTTCATTTTTAAAATTAAGAATGTATTTATATAATATATTAATAGATATATTTGAAAACAATCAAATTCATCCAAAGGAGATCTTTAATATCTTTAATAATATTACTCACTCATTTATTACTGATATTATAAAGTGCAATATATTAGTAGATGAATCAGATAAAGAAAAATATATATATGTTAGGAATATAAAAAGTAAAAATATTAGAAAAAATCCACTTATTATATACATACACAATAATTTAAATAGACTTCCATTTGAAAATTTGGAGCCTTTAAAAGATTCTTATATAGTCAGAGGAATACAAAAAAGTGTAACATCCTATTTATATGAAAGGTTGTTAAGAAAAATAAAAAAAGAAGAAGTTCAAAACAATGATAACTTATTTTCAAATAGTAATGATAGTGAATTTACAGATAAAAAATGCAAAGAAGATAATGGAAGTGATGATTTTGATATGAATGAATATATAAAACAAGAATATTGTAAGAAATGGAAATTTCCTATATGTAAGGATGGAGAGGAAGCAAAATTTATTTATAGTTATGATTTATGTGATTCTATAAAATTCAAAGAAAAAAAAAGAGTTATAGAAGCTAATACAAATGAAAACGACGTTAGTAAAATCAATAATTTACAATATTTAAAAAATAAAAATAATAGTATTTCAAAAAATAAATCAAATATATTTTATAAACTACTAGATTATGATGAGAAAAACAATTCTAAAAATAATGATACTATTAATCATGATAATGATAATCACATTAAAGTGGTAGATGATAAAAATAAATTCTACCAATTAAAAACAGATAATCAAAATTATAATCATACACAATTAACTCATTATATGATATATGATAATAATGAAAAAAAACAGAAAAAAAAGAATAATAAATTGAATATCCATGATACATATAATGGTTCGAAATATTCAAGTAGCACTGATTTAGAAAATAAAAAAGAGCCAAAGAACAATAATATATATAATTTAATAATTACTAATGATGAAAAAGAAAATATTAAAGACAAAAAAGGAATTTATGAAAAAGAGAAAAATGGTAAAAAATCAAGGAAAAGTATATGTATTGAATACTCTTTTATAAATCCTTTTAATAATAAAAATAAAAAAAAGTCAAACAATTTGTCATTCAATGAAAGAGGATTTAATAATGAAGATAAATTAAGTAAAAAAAATGAAAATTTTGTGTATAATAATTTAAAAAAGGTTGAGAAACGTGAGTTGAGAGCACACAATTTAAGAAGAATTAGCTTAAAAAGTTCTTATCCATCTTCCTCATCTTCATCTTTATCTTCCGTGGAGTTGATTCAAAAAGAAGATGAACTTCGTAAAATATTTATGAATGCTAGAAAATCAATGAATATTCACAATATAATGAGTATTTATAAAAAAAACTCATCTAATTTTTGTAATTTTGAAAAAAAAAAAAGAAAAAAAAGTGTTAGCGAATCTGAGGCATATTTTGATGAAGAAAAAAAATTAATAAATCCTTTGATAGAGTTGTGTAAAAAAGAAAAAAGAAGAAGTTACTCTACAGATGTGGAGCATCTTTCAAAACCATCAAAAATAAAATATATAAAATACATTCCTTATTATATTAGTAGTAATAGATTAATTGATCCTAAAAAGAGTAAAATATTTTTTGTAATAAATCCTAATGGAGATTTAAAAAGAACAGAGGATGCAACATATCCATTTATTTATTTTAAAAACAAAGAAAAATATAAGTACAAAAATTGGAATGGATTTTTTGGTAAGATTCCATGTGAAAATGTTTTATTAAAACATTTATGCAACGATGATTTGTATTTATATTGTGGTCACCAAGGTGGAGAGCAATATTTAAAGAAGGAAAATGTTCAAAACGCATTTTTAAGTTATGATAAAGATTTAAAAAAGAATAAAAATAAGGAAAAAGGAGATTTAAAGACAATAAAGAACAATGAAATTGAAATTTCAAAATATAAAAAAGAAAGAAAGTATGATTTCTTATCAGAAAGTAATAATGAAAAGAGAAGAAATTCATGTAAATTTGACATAAAGAGAGCTATTATTGAAAAAAAATCTAAAAGAAAAAGTTTAGGAAATTTGGGTGATATCAGTAATGTCAATAACTTATACTCAAAAAGTGAAATAAGTGATTCTAGTTTAATTCTTAATAAAAATGATGGAATAAATTGTTGTGTGTTTTTAATTGGATGTAGTTCAGGTTTAGTTTCTTCTCATGGTTTTGATTTAGATGTTTGGGGAACTCCATATGATTATATTGTTGGTGGATGTATTTTTATTTTTGGTAATTTATGGAATGTAACAGATGGAGAAGTTGATGGATTTACACAAAATTTTTTTTGGAAATGGACCCAACCAAATTCTTCCTCTTTATTTCATTCAAATTATAACTACATAAATAATTATAATACGAAAATGAATATATTAAAAATCAATTTGAATTCATTTATAAATTTATTGAAGAAAAATGATCAAAGAGAAAAAGAGGATTTACAAATTAATAATTTTGAAAAAAGTAATTTACTAATTGATGTAGGTGATAACTTTGTTACTATAGATATAGATACATATATATATTTAAAAAAGAGTAATTTTTTGTATGAATATTTTAAGAATTGTTATGATTGTGAAGTAATTTTAAATAAAAACCTTTTTAAAATGAATCAAAATAAAAAATATGTCTGGTTAAGTATGACTGAAGCATTAGTGGAAGCTAGGCAATTCTGTCGTCTACCTTACACAACGGGCTCAGCTGTTGTTATATATGGATTACCATTATAGATATAGTAGAAAGATGAAAATTATGTTATAATTTTTAACAAAAAAAATTTGACTTTTTTTTTTGTAAATTTTGTAAATTTTGGTATATTTGTTCAATTTTTTTATTGAAAATGAAAAAATGTCAATTTTATATATGTTTTTATTATTTAAAATTTTCAACATTTCGTACATATATATATTTAAATAAAATATATATTTTCTTTTAAGAATAACCTTGTTAAATATAATTTTTCTTTTTATGACTAGACTTACAGTTTTTAGTTTATTAATTAGTTTAATAATTTACAATTATTTTGATTCCTTTTTTTTCTATAAATTTTTTTTTTTTTAAATGTAAATAAAAATATATAAAATAGATAAATTATTTCATTTAAAATAAAATTAAATAAAATATATTCTTATTTACAAAAAAAAAAAAATTGAGCTATTCTAAAAAAATTCTTTAAGTTACAATTTATTACATGAAGATAATAAGAAAAAATGGATAAGATTAAAAAAAGAATAAAGGAATTATTATACATACTAAAAAAGGAATATTTTTATAAATATAAATAGCTTAAAAATAAATTATTTTAATTATAAATTTTGAATGATTTAATAAAAAAAATAAATTTCTAAAGTACAACCAATAAGATATTTTTTTTTTTTTTTGCTTTAGTAGTAACCTTTTAAAATTTTATATCATTTTTTTATCTTAAAAAAAAAAAAAAAAAAAAAAAGTTAGTGCATGCGAAGACAAGAAAAAAAAAAATTGTATAATTTAAAATATTTTAAAAATATAAAATATAATTATTATGTTTATATATATATATATATATATAAATATATATATATATAATTAAAAGAATTTTTAAAATGATATCCTGAAATATTTAAAAAAAAAAAAAATAAATTGATGTAAAACTTCTCATTTTTAATATTTTTAATATTTTTTTTTTTTTTTTTATTTGTAAGATGAAGCATAAAGTTAAACGTGATATTATAAAATGTAAAAAAAAATTAGAAAATTCTATTAAGGCATTAGAAGAAAAAATTTTAAGACTTGAATCAGAATATCATCAAAATTGCAATGTTAATGGAGGCAATTTAATGAAAGGATGGGAAAGTTATTTAAGAAAAACATCAATAGAACCATTAAGCTTTAGAACATTTAGAGATGATTATAATGATTTTTATATAGAAAGAATGCTATCATTAACTTCGTGTACTTCACCAGCTACTTCATTATTTTTAAATGAGAATTCAAAATAAATAAGAGGTTATAGAAAGGCAAAATTACATTAAGAATTGCATATAATGGATGTATAAAGATAAATAATAAATAGAGGAAATAATACAAGAAATGGATATAAAAAATTTTATAAATTTGATATTAGATGATTTATATGATAAAATATATTTTTTTGTGAATAGGTTAATGATCTCATTTGTTTTATTTTATAACTTTTGGCATTATATAAATATTTTATTAATAAATTTTGTAATAAAAAAAAAATAATTGTGACTATATAAAATTATCCGAAAAAGAAAAAGATAGATTTTCTTAAATAATAAAATGGATAAATAAATTCTAATAAAATAATATAAACACATTTAAAAATTAAAAGTTCAAATATTTTAATATATTAAAGAATAATTAAAATTGCAAATGAAGCAAATTAAAAAAAAAAGAAAAAAAAGTTTTTATTCTTCATAAGAAAGATATAAATTAAAAAAACATTAAAAAAAAATAAGAAACAAAAATTAGAATAATATATTTTTCATATTCATACATAGTTTTATATTTATAATAATTATTGATGTTATTTTTATTGTTGTTTTAATGGCTATTTTTTTTTTTTTTTTTTAAATACAAATTTTAGTTATATAAATTTTTATTTATTTTTACTTTTATTATAATTTTCTAAAATTTTTTTTTTAAATAAATTAATTTTAATTTTTTTTTGTAAAATTCTTTTTCTTCTAACAAAATGTTTTGTTCTTTTTCTTTTTGGTCTTATATATTTTTTCGATATATCTTTAATTTCAGACCACCCTTTATCTGGTAAAATTTTAAAAAATCGTCCTTTAAAAAAAAAAGAATTTTTTTTTTTAGTTTTCCATGGTAATTCCCATAACGATTCATCATTCTTTTCTATTTCTTCAAAATGTTCATTGTTGTTTGAATATGGAACTAAATCATTTTTATTTTTGTCATTTTCTGATTTTACTAAAGTTGTTTGTAATTTAAAGGATGACTTATTTAACTTATTGAATCCTTTATATAAATAAATATCACAATCTTCATCAAGAATAAAATCTGTATTCTTATTACCTTCTTCTCTCTCATTATTGTTAGTGCAATATGTAGTTTTTAATGTATTATATTCATTTGTAATATCATCATTTTTAGGTTTGTTACTACCTATATAATTCTCTTCCTCAATATTTTTCTGCATTTTTATTTTATTTTGGCTATTAATATTTTCTTTATACTTCATTTCATCTTCTTCCTCTACTTCGATTTTTTTTTGCTTATCTTTTATATGTTCCTTTCTTTTATCTACATTTTCTCTTTTCTCTAATTTTGTTGCAGATAACACCTGATCATTTAATGAATAACTGTTATCTGATTCTATAAAATTGTTAAAATTTCCTAAAGTTTCTTTTTCATTTTCTGTTTTCTCAATAAAGTGCTCAATGGGGACACCAGAATATTCTGAAGATAAAATAACATCATACATTTTTGGTCTTTCAATATACTTGGAAGATTTCTTTTTATTTACATCTATATTTATTTTTTTTGTTTTTTCTTTTTCGTGATTCATAAAATAATTCATCTCGTCCATATTTTTTTCGTCATAAAAATTTGAAGAATTTGGAATATATCCTCTTATTTTAAGTTGTATATACATATCTTTTTTAGCTGAACACTCACCTAATAATTTAATATAAGATGATAAGTGATATGGGTGAGTTAATATATTTGGTATTTTTCTTATACCCAAATTATTTTCATATCTAACAAAATCAAATAATCTTTTTTTAAAATATTTATCATACATACTAACAATAAAAGATCTTGAAAAACTACCGTATTTTCTTACATAATTAACTAGAAATGGAATACTTACTGTTTCATAACATCTTGAAAACAATGCAATTATTTCTGCATTTTTATCGTTATTTATTATTTGACCTAAATAATTAATCATGTTTTCATACGATACTTGAGAATATTTATCTCTGTACATTCCAATTCTACTAATTATTTTTAAACATAATTCTGCACTACAATTTTTAACAATTTTATATGCAAATAAATGATTTAACACATTACATGGTAAACTATCAATATCTAGTATTTTTATTGTTTCAATATTATCATAGTTCACATTTTTTTTTTTTTTTTTATAATTATGTTTATTGTCTGTATAATTTAAAGAATTAATTAAATTTTTATAATAATCTTCCTTGTTTTTCTGATTTTGAAATATACTCGTTTCCTTACTTGAATGCTTATATTTTTTTGCCATCTCTTCTGATATTTTTAATTTGCATAAAAGCGAATTTCTAAATTTCATAAATTTTTCTTCATTTTTTTCAAAAAATTCCTTCATTTTTTCAAGTACATTTTTTTCTTCTTTATATAATTCGCTAATAAATGAATTAACTTTTGTGTCATTTCTTTTGGAATTATCATCTTTTGTTAAATTAAATTCATTATTATCTTTATTTTCATTTTTAATTTTTATTTCATTATTAACTTGAATTTCTAAATCACTGTTAATTTCATATTTAGTATTTTCATTAACAGAGTTTTCTCTTTTAAAATTTGTATCTTTTAGTATATTTTTATTAGTTTGATCACTGTAGTTACATACATCATGGCGATTTTTAATTTTTTTTGTAACATTTATATTTTTCATAGTTTCTTTACTTCTATATACACTATTGGCAGAAGAATGCCATAGTTCACCAATTAAACTTGAGTTTAGATTATTAGTGAATAATAAAGTGTCAATATCATCTTCAAATTCTTCATCCCCTTTTATTTCATCTTCCTCTTCTTCTACACTTTCTAAATTTCCATCTTCATCTTCCTCTTCTTCGACATCTTCTATTCTTTCCTTTTCTATTATTTCTTCATTTTCATCTATATTAATATTATAATCTCTTCCTTTATATATTTTGTTACTAATGGAATTAGATGGATATGTTTCTACAGTATTATTATCTATATATCTGTATTTACTTTCTGTTTCTTTTTCTACATTGTTTTCTATACTTTTATTGTGTTTATTGTTTTTTAAAATGTTAAAAATTTCATTGTTTTTTTTTTTCGTATTATCTTCTAAAAATGATAAATATGTATATATTTTTTCTTTTTCATGTAGTTTATCAAAAATATTGTAACTTCTTATTATTAAAAATTTATTTTTCTTGTTTTTAAATGGAACTGCTACGTTCAAATGTACACATTGCAAACACTTTGGTGAAAATGTATTTTTTAGAAGCATTTCAAAAATAAGTAGGTAAATAATTCATTTTTCCAATTCTTTTTTCAAAAAAAAAATATATATATATATTAATTCAATTTTTAATAACCTTTAAATTCATATTTTTGAATTTTTTATTATAAAAGTTCTATATGACATTTTTTTCATTTTTTCTTTTTATGTTTTTTTTTTTTTTTTTTTATATTAACTTTTAACATGCACGTTAAATATTTTTGAATTCGGTGTTTTAAACTTATGTATATAAATATATAAAAAGAAAAATTAAGATATGAAAAAAAAAAAAAAAAAAAATTACGAATATCATTTATTTTTTATTTTTTTTATTATTTCATGTTTTTTCTTTATTACATATTTTTTTTTCTTATATTTTTAATTTAATTTTTTTTTTTTTTTTTTTTTAATTTAGTAAAAATATATAGAACAAAAAAAAAAAAAAAATAAAATAGTTAAATATATTTATATTTTAAGATAGAAGACCATTTATGATTGTTATAATCTTTCTTTTGAAATATTAAGAATAATAATACATTTTTATTGATATTTTTCATATTTTTACATATATTTTAAAAAATAAAAATAAAAAAATAATTTAAATTTAATTGAATTTAAAAATGGCGATCTTATATCATACTTTTTTTACAATTTGGAGGGATATCAGAAATTTATACAAACCTTATGCAGCTTTTTCTTTTTTTTTTTTCCCATGTGTTATTAATTTATATGGTATTATTAAATTTAAAAACTTAGACTTTTATTTAAATAAAGATGTATCTGACGCAAATGCTTATCTGAAGAGAATTAGTGAAGAATAAAAAACTGGAATTTTTTAAACATAATTAGTATAAACAAAAATATTTAAATTAAAAAATATATATTATATATATATATATATATATATATATATATATATATATATATATATATGTATATAAGTATATACAAAATAATATACAAAGAACGAACAAATAATTATTTATAAATGTAAAATTATACAGAAAAAGCAGAAACAACAATGGGAATATGATTATAATATGAGAAAAATTGTAAAGAAAAAGATTAATTAATTAAATAGAAAAAGGGACATATACAATTAAAATGAACTATGTATTATATATTTAAAAAATATATTTTTGCACACTTTTAAGCATAGTATTTTGTTCCTTTATATTATTTTTATTTATTTGTATATTTTTTCATTTTTTTTTTTTTTCTCTCTTAAGACTAAGGTTAAAGTTAATTATATAAATGTTATTATTTTTTTAGATTATTTTTTTTGAGTATAAACATTTTAAAAGTTAATATATTAATTGGTTAATTGAATATCTTTCAATTTACATCTTAAAAAAAAAGGAAAATTTTTAAGTTTTTTTATTTAAAATAAAAATATTATTTATAGACTTTTAAAAATATATGACAATATAAATTAAAAGGAGAAATACTTTTACAGAAGCTATTATTTTTATTGATATTATTTAATTTTTTTAAAATAAAGAAGAAATAATATTTAGTTTTCTGATATATTTCATCCAAAATTCTTTTATATTGCACATTTTAAAAAAATATATAAATAAATGATAACAAATGATTCTCTACAAAAAATACATATTTGATACATTTAAAATATTTATAAATTAAAAAAATATATATATTTGCTAGCTATTTAAAAAATAAGAAAAATTATAAATTTGATAAATTAAAAATATTAACTTCAACTTTTAAAGTAAGATACTTTTTCTTCTTAAATATATACACTTAATATTTAAAAAAAGATTAAAGTAATATATTAACTAAAAAATATATTTTTTCTTATTTATTACACAGATTATTATGGATTTATGTTTTTTAATTATGAGAAAAATGTTAAAAAAAATGTGCACAAGTATTAGTGTTCTTGCATAATAAATATATGTGTATATTTATATAGATATATTTTCATTTCCTTATAGCTTTTTATATTATTTAATTAAATGTTTTTTTATATAAGGAATATTTTTTAATAGAATAAAAAGCATTACAAAAACAAATTATATTTTTTTTCCTTAATAAAACTTTTCATTTTTATTAAAATTAATAAATGATATTACTTTTTTCCTATTAATGTGGAAGATTTTCAAAAAGATATTTCAGTAAATTATAAAAAATAACCAAAATCATTACATATGTATGTATGTATATATATCATAGCTTTGATTATATTTTTAATTTTTATTCTTCTAATTTTCTTTATATATAAAATTTATTGGTAAAATTTTAAGATTCCATACCATATTCAATTGTTTTATATTTGATTTTATGCGTTCTAATTTTTTAATGATTTATAGAAAAAATGTTATTATGATTATGCAATTTATCTAATTTTCTTACATATATAATTCAATTTTTTATTTTCATAAATATATCTTTTTAATTTCACTTATATTTTATACTAATTTTTTAAAATCTTGTAATTTTTTTTTTTTTTAACTTTAATTATTTTAATTATTACATATTATTTTTTACCTTTTTGTTTTTTACAATTAATATTTTTAAAAAAATTAGTTATACTTTTCAAAAATTTTTTAAAAAGCATTACTTTTTTAAAATTTGAACAATTTCATAATTATATTGTTAAATTTTTATGAAAAAAAAAAATTAAAATAATATAAATTTTAGAAAATATTAAGAAAAAAAAAAAAAAAAAAAAGAAAAAAATTGTATGTACAATTTAAATATAAAATGAATAATACTATAATAGAGTATTAGTAAAGATTAAATAAAATTAAAAATATATATATATATATGCATTTATATATATAGATATACGTGTATATGTTTTTATAGTGTATAATTAAAAAAATAAAAAAAGACAACCATAAAGGAAATTTAAAAAGATATTTATATTTAATTAAAATGTTATAAAAAACTATGGATAAATATAATGAAAATAACTGTATGAATTCAAATTTCCTAAATTCTAACAGTAGTGATGAAAATGTGAATATTAAAAATAAGAAGAAAACTTTTAATGAATTCAAATATGATAAAGTTGTAAGTAATGTTTTTTCCATATTTAAAAAAAATAATAAACATAGATATATATCTACCTCTTCAGCATTACGGAATGATATTCATGAACAAAATTTAACTTCTCGTATATTTTTAGATTTATATGAAGATAGAGTATTATTATTACATAAAATATTAAAAAAAATAAATATTTTAAATTTAATATACTTTCGTTTTTTAAAAGATGATGACATCGAAGATGTTTTTGATTTACATAGGGAAATATTTCCTGTTAAATATCATGCAGATTTTTATTTTAGTATATGTAATTTTGATGATAATAAATCAGTAGATGATGATATTATAAGAATTAGTGAGAAAATAACTAATCTGTCTAGAAATAATATAAATAACAAAAAAGATATTTACAATAATTATAAAGTTAATGATCATAATTCTTTGAAAATAAACAATAATAATTTAAATAATAATGATATGATAAATGAAAATACAATGAATAATAAAAATGTTGTGAATTCAATTAATAATTCATTTAAAATTGATTTAAAGAAAAACGATGAAATAAACTTAAATGATAAAAATTATGATGATAATAATATTACTAATGAAAAATTAACTTCATCAGAAACTTTTAATCCATTAAATAATGAAAATAACAAAAAAAAAAAAATAAATAAAAAATGGAAAGAAGAACAAATATTTTCAGTAGGTGCATTTTTACCATATTCATTTATTGATTATATTAATAGTAATTATATCAGCAAACTATTAAAAAATAAAAGCATAGAAAAAATTAGTGAAAAAGAAATTTTACTAGATTATATAAAATTTATTGATGATAATCATAATTATTATAATTCCTTTAATCATACTCATATAAATTCATTTAATTATGAGGATCAAATATTTAAAAGTTATACAAAATATAACTCTAATAATCAAGATAAAGATAAAATAAATAGTAGTAATAATGTAGAAAATAAAAAATGCGAAGAGGAAAAAATTTTTAATGAAAATAGTGAACAGAATAAAAAGATTAATGCCTTAAATCATTTCGAAAATGCAAATATTAATTTTAATAATGATATAAATCATAAAAGACTCGGTAATAATAAAAAGGAAATTGGCGTAAATACAAATGAGCAAGATATGTTAGAAAAAGATGATTTGCAAATGTGTAAAAAAAGTAATAATAATAACTTAAATAATAATTTAGAAAAAAATAATTATAAGAAAGAAGACAATGTTGATAAATGTAAATCAATTAATAATGATACAAACAGTATTACGAAAAATGATTATGTCAATAATAATAAAATTAATTCATTAATCTATGATGAAAAAATAAGTACTGTGTCAGATTTAGAAGAAATAAACAATAATACGGATAGTGATAGTAGCAAAAATAGTAGGAAAAATAGTAGGAAAAATATAAATAATTATAACAAAACTGTTTGTTCTACAAATAACACTATACATGAAAATAATAATGAACATACTGGTAGTAATTCTGTAGATAAATATTTTAAAAATAATATGAAGGAAAAAATATGTTTAAGCAAAGAAATAATAAATTTATATAATATGGGTAAAACAAAAACAAAAAAGGATTATTTAATTGGAAGCATATCAACATTGATAAATTATGAGGAAAATGTAAAAGAAAAAGATTTTAATAATATATATAATTTTTTTAAAAAAAAATCAAATAATTGTAAAAAAGGAAAAAATTATTTAAAGTATGTTTATGATTCTTCTATAAATTTTTTAGAAAGTTATTTTCCAGTAGAAAAAAATGGTAATATTAATGAAAAGGAAAAAAAAATAGGAAATTCGAATAGTATCGAAAAAAAAGATGAAGTGTTAAAAAATACAGATAATGAATTAAAAGATGATGAGCAAAATAGTTCATCATCTAATATGAGACAAACAGAATACAATAATTATAACTTAATGAAAATGGAACCACTAATAAGTGTGAATAACACATTAAATGATTTAACTATTTTAAAAAAAAAAAGTATAAATAAAGACCTAAATTTTGAAAAAAAAATATATGAAGAAATATATATGAATAAAGGAATTAAAAAAATGGCAAAAAAATATATAAAAAAAAAAATAAATAGTGTTTATATTTTAACAGTAGGAATAAATGAATATTTTAGGGGACTATCTTTAGCATCTTTTCTCATTGAATATACATTATTTTTTTTTTATTTTATTATATTTAGAATATTTCTTTATGATAAAAGATTTTATTGTTATGTTGATAATAAATCATTTTATAGTTTATCTTGTAATTTAAAAGACGAACATAATGGAATATTTGATGAGGGTGTAATAAGTGATGACTTCTCAGATGATTTCGAATCCAATTTATATGGTAAGAATTTTGGTATTTTTCAAGAAAAAAAACATATTGATGAAAATCAAAATGAAGTAGATGAGAAAATTGTTAATTATACTGAAAAAGAAATATATAATAGCAGTAAAAAATTCCAAAAAATTGATGAATTTAGAAAAGGAGAATTAATTAATGAAATTGATGTAAATGAAAAAAATTCTGAATATGATGGATCTAATGAAAGTGATAACATGAAAAAAGGAAAAAAAAATATAAAAAATAATTTATGTAAAGAATTAATTTGTAGCAGCAATGGTGCTAATGATAATGATCACGAATTAAAATATGAAAAGTGTTCATTGAACATATATAATTTAAATAAAACCAATGATTTTAATGATTACAAATACATAGGTAAATATAATACGATGAATAATAACACATTTTTACAAAAAGTAAATAATTGTAAGGAAGCAAAAAAAAATTACAGTATTTGTAATAGTATAATAAGACATTGCTATAAAAAAATTATATCAAATGACTATTTACATCATTTATATGATATTATTCACAATAGAAATTCGGAAAATAAAAAAATAGATCAAATAAAGAAAAAAGTTAATTCTTTTCATATTTTTAATTTTCCTCAATTTAAAAATCCTGTTTGTGGTGTTAGTATAAATAATAAAATATTAAATTTTTTTTTTAGTAATTTTTCTGCCCACTACTTAAAAGACAGACCATTTTTTCATTTTACAAATTCAAAATGTATGAAATCATCTTTACCTAGTGATAATGAAAATATCAAACTTCCATTATATATGTATTTGCATGTAATAGATTATAATAAAGCAGCTATAAATTTATACAATAAATTAAATTTTGATTATATTTGTACATATGATAATTTTTATGAAATAAACAAAATATCCTTTTCTTCTTATTTGTATGCTTATTTTTTTTAAATAACATATATATATATATATATGTATAATGCATTTAAAAATTTAAAAAAAAAAAAAAAAATACATGAATAAAAGAAATATTTTAATAATTTTCATATACAGAATAAAAATTTGAAATATTTATTTTAAAAAAAATTATATTATTAATGTCTATGAAAAAAATTTTCTTATAATAAATGATATAAAAATGTTTAATAAAAAATTTTAAATAAAATTATAATTGCCCTTATTAATTTGTGATTTTTATTATTTTTTCTACATTTATTAATAATACCATTCTGTCTTATAAGACATACATTATAAAATGTGTAAACTTATATACTTTTAATTTGATAAATTTTATATTTTTCTATAAATATAAAAAACTAATGTATAATTGATAAAATAGTAAGGAAATTTTTCTTTTTAAATAAAATAAAATTTATAAATTTTTAAGCTACTAAATGTTTCATCAAAATTTAAAAAGTACAAATAAATACAAAAAAATATAATTAAACAAAACAAAATATAATTATATTATTTTTATTAAAATTAAGGTATTTCCATATTTAAAAAAAAAATAATAATTATATAAGAATAAAGAACATAAGAATATATAAATTATTAATAAGTTATTTTTTATCTTTATCAAATAAGAAAAAATTAAATAATAAAAAATATATGGATTATTGAAAAGAGGAATTAAAAAAAATGATTAATAAATAACATAAAAAAAAATATATATACTAACGTTTACATACAAAATTAATGTTTTTTTTTTTTTTTTTTTTTTTAATTTACATATATATATGTTTCTCTTCCAATGGCACAGCTGAATTTTTTTCATTCACAAATGTATTACATCTTGAAAATTTTGTATCCTTTAAAATTGAATTTAAATATTCCATTTTTTCATTTTCATTTTGATAATTTAAAAAAGAATCATGAGATACATAAATTACATCAAATCCTTCTTTTTTCATATGCTTATTCTTATTAATTTCAAAGTTTTTTTGTGAATTTTGTTCATAAATTGGGTATAATTTCCATACGTTTTCCCATTCAACATATATTTTATAAAATGGATCACAAATGTGTAAAATATATGGTCCATATGTAAAAGTAATAAATTTATAATTTAATAGTTTCATATATTTTTTTAAAATATAAATTTCTTTTTCTCCTTGAAGATTTTTATTAATAATACATGATGTGTTTCTAACTTTTTGAAGAAAGTTCTTATATTCATTCGGCAAAAGACAATAAATGCTTTTTAAATCATGTTTTAAGTGCATTTCTATTACTTTTAAATTAAACAGTATGTCCTCTTTTTTAAAAATATCTTCTTCCTTTTTAAGAATAATCTCATCTTTTTTAGAAATATCATCTTTATTTATATATGTTGGTTCTTCAATTTTATAAGATTCATCTTTTTTATAAATTTTCTTTTTAATTACACTAATATTTTCATCTTTAGAATTTTTAATATTAGTTATATCTATATTACCATTGTTATCGAAATTTTTATTTTCATTTTTATATAAAATATTATCTTCCAGTGGTAAATCTTCATTTCTACAATTTATCATGATATTTTTTTTTTTATCTTGATATTCAAATTCTTCAAAGTTTTCTACTATATTATTTATTATATTGTCTTTTGTCCCAACATTTTCCAATAAATTATTTTGCTCCATGTTTTCTTCTGTTATTTCCCTTTTTTTCAGAATATTTGTTTTTAAATTATTCTTTTTAATATTTATAAATTTATTTAAATGTTTAAAAGTTAAAAATACATTTTTTTGAGATATAAAATTATACTGTATCATCTTTTTAAATAAATTAATAATATGATTAATCTGATTAAAGCTAGCTATTTTTTTTGAATATATAACGTTAACTTTATAAATTAGTTTTTCCGAATTTATATATAAAGGGATTATAGGTATAATTTTACACATTGCTTCACAAGGTAATTGTGAAAATTTCGAGATTAAATTTATTAATAAAACTTTAACGAATATTGTGTCTATGTAATTTAAATAATAACAGTTAACTAGTATTAAATGTAAATGATAAGCTCTAATTTTTTTTACTCTTTTAATTATTTCAAAACATAAATTATTCAAATATCTTTCATTATAAAATTTACTCTTGTTATATCCATAAAAAAGTCGGCATAAATAATGATCATTTACCATATTTATATTTTGAAGAAAAAAAATAGAAAGTAAATTAAATATATTCTTTATATATTCGTTGCATATAAATTCATTAGGTTCATATTTTTTATTTGAAGTATTTGTGTAAATAAATTCATCTTTGTTAAATAATTCATTTATATCATTATTTTTGTAATTTAAATTATCTTTTTTTTCTTCATATTTTTTATTATTTAAAATATTATTCTCAAAAACTTTTTTTACTTCATTAATATCCTTTTTTTCATTTAAAAGATTTCCATTATTTAATTTTCCATAATATTTTGTCTTTAAAAAAAAATAAGAATTAATGTAGCAGATATTTAAATAAACTTTTATTAAATCATGAATATCAAAAAATGGTTTTGAGTTTTGCGAATTGTAGCTTTTTGAATTTAAAATATTTTTTTTATTTTGAGTTAAGTCAGTTGTTATGCAATTTATGCTATTTATTATATTAATTTCTACTTCTTTCATTATAGTATCTAAAATATTTAAATTTAATAATTTATGTTTGCTACAATATCCTATATAATATAAAAGCTCTCTATTATTTAAATTTTTTACATTTAATAGATTAAAATTTTCAAATTTTTCTATAGAGAATAATTTCCCTTTTTCATTTTTTTTGTTTCCATTTTTATTTATAAAATTAATAGTTTTATTATTTATCGTGCTGAAAAATTTTTTTTCATACTGATTTATTAATGATTTAAAACTCATTTTTAAGACAAATTTTTGATTTATCATCCTTTAAGGAATTAGTTATACTTTTATCAAATTTTTGTTAATTTGATTTTATTATACTCAATTTTTTTTTTTTCTTTAATTAACATTTTTTTTAATTTATTTCTCCTACAATTTTTTTTTTTCTTTAATTAACATTTTTTTAATTTATTTCTCCTATAATTTTTCTTTTCTCCTATGAATTTAATTAAAATATTTTTATTTTTAACAGTTTTTATATGAAAGGAATATGTATTGAAACTCTTATAAAAATATTACATACTTTTATTAATATAATTATTTAATTACGTGAAAAATATAAAATAAATGAATATAAATTTTTATATACATTTTATTATTTTGGAAATAACAAATTATTATTTTCATTTAAGAACAGTTATTTTATTATTTTTATAAATTATTATTTAAAATAAAAAGTTAGTTTTCTATTTTTAAGTAATTCTTATATTTTTATACTTTTAGATAATAGGAAATATTTTAAAAATATAGAAGATATATCTCAATATTATCAAATAGAAAGACATTAAAAATTTTATAAAAAGTATTATATTAATGATGGATGAAGCATTAAGTACAATTAAAAAAATTAAAAGTAATTTAAGTAAAATTTATTTTAATAAATCAAACAAGATAAACGCAGATTTTAAAGGTTACTATAAATATAAAAAAATTATATAAATTTTATTAAAGAGAAATTTCATTATGAATACAAATAAAAATTTATAATCTATTTTTCTTTTCTTTAAAGATGACCAAATTGAAATAATTTTAGATAACAAAAATATAACACCAAAACCAATATATTTTAACTTTCAAGAAACTGAAACAAAGAAATCGTTTGATCAAATTGGTAATATATACATACGTTTTTGTTGTAATAAGTATATTTATTATGATTTTAATAATTTTAAGCATTAAAATTGCTATACAAAAAATTTATAAAATATTGTTTTTTCTTCGATAGATTATTTGTTAAAACATTTTGATGATAAAAATGGATATGTTAATCGAAAAGATACAGAAATAAAATCAAATACTGAAGAAAAAATAACAGATTTATTAAATAAAAATTTCAACACATCATTAGAGAATAATTTTCCTAAACATATGAATGTAAAACGCAACTTAAAATATGAGCAATATAAAAAGGATATACTAAACCAATACAATGGTAATCTCACTTGAAGAATTTTATAAAGTGAAATTTTTATTTTTTATGTTTCTTTTTCTGTTACATTTTTTATTAGAAATTTTATTAAGTGAGACGGAAACAATAAATTTATTAAATATACCAAATATATTAAATGACATAGAAGAAGATAAAATTGTCATTGAAAAAAAGAATGAAAGATATGAAAAATTATTAAATAATGATGAAAATAATTATAGAAGTAAATCTATGCAAACATTAAATGTATTCAAAAAAAATAAAGATGTTTATGTTTCTACTATTAACAAACAAAACAAAAGTTCTCAAACTAATTTATATGAATTATACAAATTATCTATTAGAAATCCTTCTAATATGTAAAAAAAAAAAAAAAAAAAAATAAAATAAAAAAAAAAATAAAAATAAATAATATATTAATGGTTTTTGTAACAAAAAAATGAGCAGTTAATAGACAATATAAAAAATAATTTAATTTAATTTATCTAAAAAAAATAATTTGTAGATATTTTTATATGAATTCATAATAATTTATATCTTTTAAAATGTAATAATATGTTTTTGTTTTTCTTCTTAACAGATCAGAATTATTACATAAAAAGTTTCTAAAATATAGAAACAAAAAGTTAAAAAAAATAATGGATGAATATGGTGATTCATTAAACATTAATGAAAAAGTAATTTTAAAAAAAAATATGTGGGTACAAGTAGTTGATAAAAATATTACTGACAACAAGCAAACAACCATTATACCGAAATCATTTTATAAATCTAAAAAAACTAACACTTCTCTTTTTAACACTTTATTCTTAACAAAAAATATATCAAGAACATTATCTAATAAAAGTAGAACTTTTAGAACGAGAAACAGATTTAAAAATATTAAAACAATGAAATTTTTAACAAGTAATGCTATCAGTTTGTAAAATGTTATATACTTACAAAAAAAAAAATACAGTATCTTTTTAAAAAAAATATATTTAGTTTAATTAGAATAAGAATTATTTTAGAATTAATACAATATAAACATTTAACAATTCATGCTTATAAACATTTTTATTTAATTTATTTCCCTATAATATTTTTTAAGGTAGTTTTAGTGAAGATGAATATTTAATCAAATCAATAATTAAAAAGAAAAAGGAAGAAAACGAAGCAATTGAAGAAAATCAAAATTTAGAAGAAAATTATAGTATAATACCATGGCAAATTAATAATAAAAAAAAAAATATAAATAAAGCATCCTTTATATTAATATTGAAAAATATTGAAAAATATATAGTACAAAATGTTTATTTCTATGAACAAATGATATATAAAAATATAAATTTAAATTACTTAGAAGAAAACGTAAATAATAATATAAGGATGTTTGATGGAGAAAACTATGATGCTATTACGAACCCTCTTATTAATTATAAAAAAAAAAAAGTTATTATAAGAATAAAAATAAAAAAAGATTTTCAAAAAATTATTAATTTACATAAAATAAGTAAATTATTTTATTCTATTAATCACGAAAAAAGTGATAAAGACGGTATAAATTTTACTAATAATTCAAATTGCATTGAAGATATTGATCTCCTCAAGAAAAATTTAATATATTTATCAAAAAGAAAAAAAAGTAAAATAAAGAAAAAAATATTAATTTGTAAGTTAAAAAGAAAAATAAGAAAAAAAATTAAAAACAGAAAAGATAAAATTAATGCTGAAATTAAGGAAAATATAAGAATAAACGAGGAATTCAACAATGACAATATTGGTAATGAAAATTGTATAGAGAACAAAGATGTAAGGATAAAAAAAAATGATAAAAAAGAAAAAGATAGAATATTTGATATTATTGTAAATGAAGAAAGTAGTGAAGATAAGATTAAAAAAATAAGTACTTTAATTATAGATGATGTTTTGAAACAAAATGATAATACTGAAAAAACCAAAATATTAGAAAAAGACCATATGGAAGGAAAAAAATTAGCAAATATATTAAAAAAAAAAGAAGCATTTTCCTCAATTAGAGGAAATAAAATAAAATTAAAGAGGAAAATGAAACAGGATTACTTATATAAGTATAAAGATAATAATGAAATTTATAAAAATAATATGGAAAATAATTTATTAAATACATCTAAAAGAAAAAAATATATAAAAAATATATCAATCAGTAAATTGTTTCAGTTTCATTATAATAAACTAGAAAAAATAGTAACATCAATAGATACAAATAAATTTTATGAAGATTATATATCAGCTAGTTATTCTAATACATTAGATATTGGTTCATTTCAAAACAGTAAGGGAAATATTGCTATATTTAGTTTCATTAACCCAAATTATCCTTTAATATTATATAATTTAAATTCGAGTGTTATGAAAATAGAATATTCTAAAGGTAATCATAATCTTTTAGTTGCTGCATTGTCTAGTGGGCATATTTATATTTATGATATTAGAAGTAATGATTCAAATCCTGTTTTAAAATCTACAACAATTAAAAATTATTATGAAAATTGTTTTGAGCCTATATATGATTTCACTTTTAAAAACACTTGTACTACAAACAACATGCATGAAAACGTTTTTTATTCAGCGCATGAAAATGGATATGTTTTTCAATGGGATATAGAAAAAGAATTAAAAAATAAAGAAATTTTATTTTTAAAAAATAAAAAAAATGATATTTATCAAGATTTATCATCTGTATTTGAAAATAAAAATTTTGTAAATAAACCATTTAATTCCTCATTAACATGTATTGATATAGATGATTATATTAATCATGATGAAGACTTTATAATCAATAACATTGAGAAGCATAATTTTAGTGATTTTAATGAAAAAGGTACAGATTTTAATAAGTCTAAAGAAAATAACATAAAAAAAAAACTTTATGAATCAGAAGAACACTTAAAAAAAGCAGTTAATCAGATAAATAATAAAATAACTAATAATCTTGAAGAAAACTACATTAAACAAAACTCTAAAGAAGAGGAATTATTAAATCATTACAAAAACATAACACAAAACATTGTTGATAAAAAAATAAAACCTACACATTCATACTATTATTTAGGTTAATAGATAAAATAAGAATATACTAAAATTAAGTAAAATATATATATATCTATTTATATCAATAATAGAAAATATTATTTTAAAAAATTTTTCGATGTATTTATATATATATATATGTACAGTATTTATATTCTTATAATAAAACTGTATTTAGGATATTTTAAATCCAATTTCATAATTTAGATTAAATTTTAAACGTAAATATTTTTTATTTTTATAATAAATTAGGTTCAAAGAATGGAATAATATATAGGTGCAATAGTTGCTATCAAAAATCATATTTAAATTATTATGTAGCACATTTTGGTTCTGTTAATAAAATTAAAATAAATAAATTTGATCATGATATTTTCATAAGCGCTGGAGAAGACTCTACAGTTAAGTTATGGAATAAATTTTGTAATAAACAAATTACAACTTTTAAATCAAAGAATTCATTTGCATCAATTAATGATGTATTATGGTTATCAAAAAAACATAAAAAAAAAAAAAAAAAAAAACTAAACAGATAATTAAAAAAATACTTATAAGTAAATATATATGGATTTTTTGTATGTTTAGGTTACCTAATAATTCAACATCTTTTTTTTGCTGTTCTGATGATGGTAGAATAGAATTATGGGACTTCGATTTTTTATCAAAAGATCCTTTGATCATATTCTATCCTAATAATGTTGAATCGTCAAAAATTAAAACTTTAAAGTAAAATTTTTTTTTTTTTTTTTTTATAAATGAATATATATATTTATATATGTTTATAATTTTTTTTTTTTTTTTTTTAAGAATGTTTAACAAAAATGATATTTTATTGTGTGGAGACAATTTGGCAAATATAACAATGATGAAAATAAAAAATATATTTAATTTAGAATTAGATGACTATGAGCAAAAAATGAAGTTAACAAATTGTTTAAAATATTTAGACACTTACGATTATTTCTAAATATTTGTATTTTCTTAAATATTTAACTTTCATTACATTTGAGTATATATATAATTATTTTAACAAATGTTCCTTTAAATATATTTATAATTTTCAATTATATTCAGTTTTTATATTTTATTTTTTTTATTTCTGATACAGTTAATATACTTATTTTATATTGAAGTTAAAATATATGCATATATATATATATATATATATATATATATATATATATATATATATAAGGATTCTTTTAGATAATTTATTATATGTAATTAAATTATAAAAAGAATATTATACATGTATATACGTATATTTATTTTAATAACATTCATTGTTTTATTGGAACTTTATAAATACAACTGAAAAAAACATATTCTTATCTATAAAAGTTTGAAGTAATTTAATTATTTTGGTAATTTTTATAACATTAATTTAAAATTTTCCTAATGCCTATGAGTTTTACAAAACGTAGAATTAAGACATTTTGAAAAATAGAATAAAAATAAATAATGCATCCATTCAAAAATTTCATAATATCAATTTTATATAAAATTTGAGAATTATTAAAAAAAAATATGTGAACTTTAAACACTTGTGTAAAATATAACAAAAATAACATGAAAATAATAATTATATATATATATATATTTTTAATAATATTTTGTACAAGTTATTTATAATGCATATAATTTTCATATGTATCAAGTTTTAATTCTTTATTATTAATTATTCCTAATTAAGTATAACTTTATTAAATATATTTTATCCAATTTTTTAGTACATAACTGTATTTTATTTTTTATTTTTTGTTATTTACTTTTTTTTTTTTTTTTTTTTTTTTTTTTTTTTATTTATTTTTTAGAATATATCATAAAATATGAAAAAATTAAATTTTTCTCTGCTAAAACAGTTTAAGAATAAAAATAATCTAATGATAAGATACAAAAACAGTCCATGTATAAAAATTAAAAGATAAAATATTTTTCTTTATATTTATTAATATATATATATATATATTTATATTTATATATATATATATAAATGATAACAATTATTGAAAAAGAAAAATAGGAAAATTAATAAATAAAAATTATTAAAAGTAAAATGGATTTATGTATGGAAGATATCTATTTAAAAAATTTTGAAAATTTAGATGAAAAAAAAGTTAAATATGACAATGAAAAAAAAAATAATGATGTTGATAAGATAGAATATAATATTGATAATGAAAACAACAAACACTCAATAAATTTAAAGAAAAGTACTAATTTAAGTGTTGAAGAAAATAAAAAAGATGAAATATGTGAAAAAGGTACTAAAAAAGATAATACAAAGGAGGAAGACAATGAGAAGAAAAGTAAAATCTTAAATGATTCAATGAATTTAAAATGTAGTGATGATGAAAAAGAAACTAAAGATGATGCAAATGAAAAATATAACAAAGGGGATTATGAAGGAGCACTAAAAATATGGGAAAGGGGATTAAGGACGATAAATTATATTTTATCAAAAAAAGACGAATTGAAAAATGAAAGATTACAAACTTTTCAAAAATTACATTCAACATATTGTAGTAATATTGCTCAAGGTTATATGAAGTTAAATAAATATTCTGAATGTGTTAAATATTCATTATTAGCACAAGAAAATGATAAAAATAATATTAAGATTTATTTTAGATTGGCTAAAGGATATTTTATGTTAGGTGAGTATGATAAATCAATTAAAGTACTGAATGAAGGAATTAAGATTAATAATGACAATTCATTAATCAATTTATTAGTTATAGTAAAAAAAAAGAAGCAAACACATTTAGAAAAAGAAAAATATATGATGAAATATATTTTTAAAAGTCTTAAAGAAAATCCATTAACTGATGATGAAAAAAATAAAAATTCTTTCTTAAATTTCTTTTATACCATTTATTCGTTACTAACATTCTTATTTACGTTTATTTCTATATTTTATAAAACTTTTCTTAATTTAATTTGTAGTACTATTAATAAATGCAAAATTAAGAAAGAATGAAAAAAAAAAAACAAAAAAATAAAATAAATAACTTCCATATTCTAATGGAATAAAAATATAATAATAAAATATATCTGTGATAATAATATAACAACTAAATTTTTTATAAACATTCGGATATTCTATATATAAAAATCTTTTCTTAATTTGTTTTTTATAAAGCAATTAATGTTTTTTTTTTTTTTTTTTTTGTTATTTACTCAAAATTTTTACTTTTACTAAAATTTAAGAAATTTATAAATCCTATAATTTTTACTAAGTAAAACATAAAAATTTCAAAAAAGGTGATATATATAGTTAAAAATATAAAACTACTTAAAATAACAAGATTCTTCAAATTAGACATATTTGATAGAATTAAGTGTTTTATCCTTATGAAACTATATATAAGTTATTTTTTCAATATATGAACGTTTATATAAAAATTAAAGATGAAAAATATAACAAAAAACAAAAAACAAAAAACAAATAATTTTAAAATATCTATATAGATTTTTAAATGTGCATAGTATGAAAATAAAAAAAATTTTTTGACATAAAAAAATATTTATAAAATATAGTATTTTGTTAATCAGAGCTACTACATATATATAAGTATTCAAGAGTTTTATGTAAAAGGAACAAAAAATAGAATAAAAGAATTACATAAAATATATATTTAAATAAATATTGTAATAAATAATTTTCAAAAAATATACATTATGTAATGAAAAAAAAAAGAATAAAAATTATATATATAACATATTTATATATATATAACATATTTATATATATATAACATATTTATATATATATAACATATTTATATATATATATAACATATTTATATATATTTATATGCATATGCCTTATGTATATTACATTTAACTAGATATTCCTTACAATTTTTTTTCTTTTTTTTATATTACAAAATTTCTTCTTTATATTCCAACTGAGAACGTTGTAAAATAGGAACCCATTCATCTTTTCCTCTTATTAATCTTTTTGTATCTGCATCAACAACAAATTTCGGAATATTTCTATATAGTTGTTCAAGAAAATCATCCGAAACATTAGGTCCTAAAGTTGATACTAATTCACGAACTTTCAATTGAAGTTCATGTCTTGTACTAATTAATTCTCTTTCATTATCTCTCCAAACATTAATCTTTCCACATATAACTTTTAATAAAATTTTCATTTGTCTTAATAAAGTAGGAATTTGAACGGAATAGTTTAAATTAATATAATAACATATTGGTAGTATGCATATACTTAAAAATGTAAATATTATTCTTTTTATCCATGTTTCGTAAAGGTAAAGACTAAAAATTAAACCATAAAAAAGATTAAAAGTTGGTAATAAAACAATTAATACTAAAACTTTATAGCTAGATACTACATCACAACCTTGAATTTTTACGGTGCTATTTTTAAGTGCATCTTCTCTATGTTTTTCAGCTAAATGTATAGAAATTAAAACTAAAGGTAACCATAATAATGAAAATGTCATACCAAAAATTACACAAAAAATAACACTACAAATATGCTCAATGAATTTTAAGGTTGCTGCTGAAGTGGATTGTTTAAGCATCCATACTTCATCATCTTTTATTTTATTTGCTTGTAATAACTTTTCATAACATTGTAATTGATAACATAAATTTTTAATAACTTTTGTATTACCGAATTTCCAAAACATTTTACAGAATAATTGTAAATTATTATAAATTTTATTTTTTGATATGGTCATTCGTTCAGGTGTATATAAGCTAACACATAGTTCTATACATCTACTTGTTTCATGATCTTTCGATGTTAACATACAGCTTCTCATACCTTCTTCTATTTTTGTTAGCAATTTACTTATTGTTTCTCTATGATTATTATTATAATCTTTACATAAATCTTGGGATATCATTATTGCATTTCCATAGAATAAAGTCACACAACCTTGCAATTGATAAAGTTTAGAATATGATAATCCTACAGGTATAATAGAAACATCTTCAATTCCATCTGCTAAAGCACATAATGTCATAATAGCAACACCTGGTTTTAATGGTAACAAATTTGTTCTATCATGAGATCCTCCTTCTGGAAAAATTCCTATAGTATCTCCATTTTTTAAACTATTAGTGACTAAATTATATACATCACTTTGATTTACTTTTGGTATTATTTTAAAAGGAACCCCATTAACTTTATCGTCACATTCTATATTTATAGCTTCTTGAATAAGCAATTCAGTTTCTGATTCAATTTTAGTAACACAAAAAATTTTATTTTGTGTCATTAATTTATCCCCAATCTGAACATCTAATCTAAATCTTGTATTGACTCCTTTTATTCTTATATCTCCTATTTCCCAAAAGATATTACCAATTCCTTTAAATTTCAAATCTTGTGGTCTTTTTACACTTATGCATCCAATAATACTAGCCAACTTACCTATAACTGCTCTTTTCATAGATTTTTCAGCTACTATAAATTTTACTTGTCTTGGTATATTTGCTACTAACACACATGCATCAATAAATTGATTATTATGATTTCCTACAAATATAACTGACCCATATAATGGTACATTTTCAGGATTTATAACATTCACATCTCTAAATAAAGATCTTACAATTGCTTTGCATAACCATCTTATTACGAAGTATAAATTTGGCATTCTTAATATTTATGAAAAAGTAAAATTCAAATATAATAAAAATTAAAAAATAAAGCATGAAAAATATATAAAAAAATAAAATATGGATATAAGGATAGAAGGGGAAAAAAAAAAAAAAAAAAAAAAAAAAAGAAAGAAATATATAATAAGATAAAAATAAAAAAAAAATATATAAATTTAAATTATAAAAAATTACACAATGTGGTGTATTCAATAATAACTTCCAAAAGTATATATATAAATAAATATATTAATATAGAAATGAATATTTTATTTTTATTTTTATTAATTTATTCAAAATGTAAAGTGTAAGAAAAACTTTATTTCAAATGAGATGAAAAACTTATTTTAATATATAAAGGATATTTAATTAAAATTAAAAAAAAAAAAGTAATGTAGAAGAATAATTTAAAAAATTATTATAAATTATTATATTAAAAAAAAAAATTTGGAATATAAATTATCACATACAATAAATAAAATTTTATAAGTTCATCATTTTGTATTTAATAAATTTATTCATTTTAATAAAGTTTGTAGTTAATAAGAATCTATTTTTTATTTTTTTTTATTATATGTATTTTAACTTAGTGTAATATTATTATTTTATATCATCTGTAAAATTGTAATTAAAAAAAAAAAAAAAAAAAGTGAAATTTATTAATAAAATTATTAATTAAAAATTATATATTTTTTTTTCATATTCTTATAATTTATTAAATAAAAATAGTCATAAAGGTATATATATATTTTAAAAAGTAATATATATACTTTGAATTAAATATCAATAAGAATTTCATATGTTGAATAAATATTAAAAAAGTATATTTAAAATTTAGTAAAATTAAATAAATTTTATTAGATTAAAATAAAGAATAGAAGAATCAAATGGAGTTAAAATAAAAATGCTTAGAATACCTGAGAATATAAAAATTTAAATAAATATTTAATTTAAATTCATTCATTTAAATATAAAATTAGATAAATATATATTTTCCTCAATGCTTTTACATTATAGAATAAAGATGAAATAACACATAAATTACATCAGAAATTATCATACTATTAATAGAAATAGAAAAAAAAAAAAATAAATAATAATAATAAATTAAATCTTTTTTATGAAATAATTTTTAATGAATCTATTTTTCTTAAGAAGAAAGCAAAAAATAAACATAAATCGTCTTAAAATTTAGTATTTAGAAAATAAATTAATATAATATTTTAAATTATTCTTTAAAAAAAAAAAAGTATAAGATAATCTTAAAAATTATGTTATTACTAGTATAACTTTAAAGATTTAACTAATACAATAAAAACAGTGAATGTACAAATTAATTATATACCATATAAATCATTAGAAATATAGAAAAAAAGAAAAGTTTTATTTAATATGTTTTATCTTATTTTATTATTTTTTATTTTATTTTTTTTTGTTTATCCTTATCTTTCTTTGTTTATTATCACTTCATACTACAAAATAAATTTCAATCGTTTAATTAGAAAAGAAACAATATCCTTTTATATATTAATTATAATAATAAAAAATTTAATAACAAAATAATAAAATAAATATTTAGAATTTATTATAATAACATTCGTTATTTATAGATAATTATTCAGTTCTATTTCATTTTTTTAACTTCAGTTTATTTTATTATGCTTTTTCTATTTTCCTTTTTGAATTCATTAAGTATTTGTATAATGATAAAAAAAATACAAAACTTAAAAAAAAAAAATTACATCTGTAAAGTTATAAAAAAATTTTAAAAGTAAAGCTACCTCAAGAAGAAATAGAGATACTTTTAAATTTTAACAAAAAGAAAAAATAAGAAAAAAAAAATTTATTACTTATATATTATCATTTTTATAGATATATATTTTTTTTTTTTCATGTAGTGTGATTTATTAATTTCTTAAATATCAGAAATCAATTAAAAATTTTATCATGGGTTGATATATTTATTTATATATATATATATATATATATATATATATATATATATATATATATATATGTGCATTTGATAAATGAAATTATATGTGTATTAGTTAATTATTAATTCTTTTTTTATTATATATAAACTTTTTTAAGTAAATAAGCAATATTTAAAAATAATTAAACAAAAATTAATATTATTTAAATTTTTTTTTTAAGTTGATGGTATTAACTAAAATATTTTTCATATATGTTTTAAGTATTTTTTTCATTTTACTCCATTTAAAATCTTAAATTGTTCTTATATATTTATTACAATTTTTGCTTAGTAGCTTAATTTCTAAAAGATAAAACTACAAAAGCTAAATATTTTTTTAAAAAATATATTTAAATAAAATTAACAAAATTATTTTTATTATATTTTTTTCAATTTGAAAACAATGTAAAAAAAAAAAAAAAATTAGTAATAATCTACTTTTTATTTTTAATAAACCTTCTTATATACTACTTTTGTTTTTTTCTTTTCCGTCTTTTCCTTTTTCTTTAATGATTCTAAATTATCAATCTAATAAAAAAAAAATAAAAATTAAAACAAATAAATATGATATGAATTAGATATATTAATGAAAATAAAAGCAATTTCTATTATAATAAAACATTCTTTTCTTTTTGAATTTTTTCTATTATTTAAATGATGTGAATTACCGGAGAACTTAAAAAATACTTGAAAATAAAATTAAAAATTTTAAATATTGCATATATTGGTATAATTAAATATAAATAAAAAAACTTAAAAGAATAATATAGTCCTATATTGATAATTAAGGATAAAATTAGAACATCAGTATAATAACTGTATTTAAAAAAAAAAAAATATATATATATATATATTTTTATGTCTCCATTAGGTATATTCTATTTAAAACTATAGACATAAACATTTTTTAAAATATATTTAATATTTATTTATTATTATTTTTTATTTTTTACGTAAAGTTAATCCCAGTAATTATACCATAATGTATATTTTTAATTGAATAATAATAGCAAAAAAATAGTAAACAATGCAAAGAAAAGATATATTTTGTTATTAAATTATTTCTATAATAAAATAAGAATAAAATATAAGTGAACTATAAAAAAAAAAATTATGGATTATTTTTATATAGACAAAAAATTGCTTATTTTATATATATATATATATATTTTTACTGAAAAAATGCTAAAAAATGTAGAAGCATAAATAATAAAATTTTTAGCTTTCTTTAGTCTCTTTTTCTCAGATTGGCCTGCCATTTTTTGTATTTTTCTTCTAATATTTGAAATTTTTAAAAGTTTTAAATCTTTTTTTTCTTTTAAAAAAATGTTACATAAAAAAACAAAGTTAAGTTTAGTTTTTTATACATTAATATTTCCATTAAAAACATAAAAGGAAAAGCTTTACATACGTGTAAAATTTTTTTTTTTTTTTTTTTAAAACAAATACATAATTGTAAAAAAAATATTTAAAAAAAAAAATTATGAAACAAGAAAAGTAATTAAAGCGTGCAAGAAAAATTAAAAAAAATATAAGAATTTTCTTTATCAATTTTAAATTATTTTCAGAAGTTCAAATCTAAAATAAAGTTTATTTTAAAATTTAAATACTTTTATAGTGGTATGCTTCCTCTATTATTGATTATTAATTATTATTTATTAATTTTAACTTATATAAATTTTGATTGCTATAGTTATTATGAAAATATATAAAATGAATAAAAAAATGTTTTAAATTTATACAAAGCTTAAAAAAAAAAAAAAAAAAGAATAGAACAATAGGTATTAATATATATAGCATACACATTTTTAAACTCTTTCTCATTTTTTCCCTTTTTTTTTATTTAATAAATTTTAACAATATATTAGAGTTAAATATAAATTATTTCAATATAATTATGAATGTAATATCAATATATGGATAAAAAAAATATACATATTTTGTTTATCTCATTGAAGAAAATTGTTTTGTTTAAACTTATGTAAATATAAAATAAAATGTAAATTTTTTAAAATCTATAAAATATATATTAATTGAGCCTTTAATACATAAAAGGATCTATTATTGACAAATAGTATCTTATGTGCTAAAAGACAAAATAGTAAAATAATTAATAATAAAAAAAAAAAAAAAAAAATGTAGAATAACTCATTAAAAATTTTATAGAAATGTTTTTATGCTTTCATAAAGGATCTTACGAAATTTCTTTTTTTTTTTTTAAAAACCGTGAAATCTCCTCCATCTGAAACTTCTGCCTTAACTTGATCATTTGGTATTTCTTCGTTTGTATGTTCTTTTTCTTTATTTTCATTTATTTTGTTTTGATTTTCTTCTGAATGTTTTTCTATCTCATTTGATTTTATTTTATCTCTCCAATTTTTTTTATCTTCATCATTCATATCACATTTTCTTTTAAAATCTGGATCTTCTCTTAGATTCCACGAATTCTTATTTTTATCATCAGTATCATTTCTTTTAGTTATCTCTTTATCTCTTCTTTTTTCATAATCCCTTTTGCTACTTCTTTCACTTTTTTTTGCGTCTCTATCTTTTCTCTCATCTCTATCTTTTTTATAATCTCTTTCTTTTTTATCTTCTTTACTTCTCCTTTCATCTTTATCTCGTTCACTTCTTCTAATATCTTTGTCGCTTTTTCTATCTCTATCTCTATCTCTATCTCTATCTCTTTTATGTTCTCTGTCTCTTTTGTGTTCCCTATCCCTATCTCTTTCTCTATCTCTTTCTCTATCTCTTTCTCTATCTTTTTCTCTATCTCTATCTCTATCTCTTTCTCTATCTTTTTCTCTTTCCCTATCTCTATCTCTTTTGTGTTCTTTGTCTCTATCTTTTTCTCTATCCCTTTTATGTTCCCTTTCTCTATCTTTTTCTCTATCTCTTTTGTGTTCTCTATCTCTATCTTTTTCTCTATCCCTTTTGTGTTCTCTCTCTCTATCTTTTTCTCTCTCTCTACTTGACCAATCTTTTCTATCTCTTCTGTCTGATTTATCCTTATGAGAAAAGCTATCGAAGTTTTTATCTTTGGATTTATATCCATCTACAGTTTCATCAACTCTTTTTAAATTTTCCATTTCATTTTGAGAATTGGGTTTTTCTCCTCTTCTCCATAACAAAACATCATCAATTGATGGCTTTCTATGCATTCTTTCTCCATTTCTTAATTCTTCTTCTTTCTTTTTTCTTAATCGCATTTCTATCTCAAGATCTTTTTCTCTTTGAATTCTACTTACTTCGTCGAGTTTCTTTTTTTTTGCTTCTTCTCTTTTTTTTCTTTCCATTTCCTCCTTCAACAATCTCTCTTCTTCTTCTTCTCTTCTTTTTCTTTCTTCTTCCGCTTTTATTTTTCTTATATGTTGATCTCTCCTTTCTTTTGCCCTTTGAATTTTTTCGTCTTTTAGTAATTTATGTAATCGCTCTTTCTGAGCTTTTAAATTTTTTTCAAATTCTGCAATTCTTGATTTCATTTCATTCTTAGTAAATTCTTCAATATCATTAGAAAATTTAAGATATTCTTCCTTTTCTTTAAGAGCTGCTTCAAAATCCGCTTTTTGTTCTTCTTCTGCTGCTTTTTGTTCTTGTAATAAAATTTCAGTATCTTCCTGAAATACTTGGGCTATCCATCTGTTCATATGGCTAAGTTCTACTTGTCTCAATGCCCTGAAAAAATGATCTACTTGTTTTGCCTCTATTTTTCTAATTTTTATAATTTCATTTCTTTCGTTTAAGCGTAATTTTTCTTGTGCTTCTTCTATATCATCAAAATCAACATAACCATTCAATATATCTTCAATGGTTATTTCATCCAAATATTTTCCTTTCATTAAAATTTTAGTTGAGTTGTTAGTACATAATTTTTTAATTTCTTTTAACATTTGTTCTGCTGCTTCAGATTTTTTCTTTGTTTTTTCTTCTTTTATTCTTAATTTTTCTCCTTTTCTTGCTAATTCTTCTTTTTTTTCTTTTTCTAATTTTTCTTCTAATAATTTTTTTTCCATTTTTATTTTCAGTTGTACTTGCTCTTGTTCTTTTTGTTTCTTTAATAATTCTCTTCTCTTTTTATTATGTTCTTCATTTAATAACTGTATTTTTTGATGCTCCTCATCTATTTTATCATATATTTTTTTTAGCAATTTTTCATCTTCAATCGGTTTTTCATCAAAAACCTCATTTTCTATAATATCTTCTATACTTGCAGTATTATAATTAATAACCTTATTTCCCTTATCTAATAAATCAAATTCTTCTTCATATGTTAAAGTGGTCATATTTAAATTTTCCACTTCGTTTTCTATAAAAATAGTTTCGTTAATCATCTTTAATCCATTTTGAAGATCATTGTACATATTCATGAGTGATTCTTTAATCAGTTTGCTACTATTAATATTTTCATTATCTCCAAAATAAATAGCCTTTATAGTTAAATCGATTCGCATTTCTAATTCTTTTTGATACACTAAATCAACCAACATTTTTTCTGCTTCATTCCATGATATAAAATGGTCTGGGCATATATACTCAATGAAATAATCAATGGATATATAACTATACACTTTAGATAATTGTAAAATTAACTTATGAAAAATTACCTCTTTAATTTTTTTAATATAAACTTTATTTTCTGTGTTTTCTAACTCTTTTAATAAACTTTCACATTCTAAACATAAGCTCAGAGGAGTAAATTTATTTTCAATTAAGGCATATAATTTTTGTACATTTTCATCTGCGTAATTTAAAATATTTTTTATTTTTAGCCCATTTTTTAAAGATTCTTTTATAGGAACGCTCGAATGACCTAATAGTTGTGACATTTTTTTATGTGCTTCAAAAACCTTTGCATAATCTTCATTCTTTTTTTTATTTCCAATTAAAGGTATTGATAAAACAGCTAAAACCGCTTTGGTGCAAATGAAGGATTTTTCTTTTTCTGATATATTCTTTTTATAATTTAAAATATGAAAACAATATTTTAACCATGCTAACCCATGAAACAGTTCGCTTTCATAAACAAACAAAATGTCTGCCATCTTTTCATAAAAAATGGCAATCCATTTTCTTAATTTTTCTTTTGATTTTGATAATCCATAATTTGCATTTCCACTTTCATTTATTTCAGAATTTGGCTGTTCATTAATAGTTTTATTTTCTTTTTTATCATCTTCTGTTTTTGGTGAATCCTCTCCTAATTTTGTATTTTCTGTTTTATCTTGGTTTTCTTTCTCTTTCTTATTTTCTTCTGTAGTTAAATTTTTGCTTGACGGTAAATTATCAACAACAGGTACTAAATCAGGTTCAATTTGATTTGATTTTAAACACTTATAAAAATAATCATGCATATTTAAATTATAAATGTCTTCAGCGATATTTGATGCTTCTTTCCACATATTTAACTCACATGCTGTTTCCAATTGAATTATTTTCGTTTCTAAATGGTATTCAATTTTAAGTAACGACTGATATTCTGGTTTATGCTTTCCTCTTAATATTAAATTGTAATGGTTTCTTAATAAATCGCTTAATTTTTTAAATTCTGTTAACCTCTTATTTTCCTTACAAAAAATTAATGCTTTTTTTGCCGTTTCATGATATGCTCTTTCTAATTTTGGTGTAGCTCTTAATATTTCTAAAATCATTTTATATGTTTCCATACATATTCTATATGCATTTTGTAATTTTCTTTCATATTTTCCTGATATTTCAATATCTAATGAAGACATTAATATTTTCTCTGTTATATCTACATTACTTTCTTCTTGTTCTATTTTTTCTTTGTTTAAAATAACATTTTCTTTTGCTACTCTTACTTTTTCTTCTGCTTTATCTCTAAAATCTGTTATAACTTTACCTAATGATGCTATGTTTCCATGTTGGCATATAATTCTATATTGATGTAAACCATCTTTAACTAAACTTAATTTTTCTAAGTATAAACAAAATTCAATATATCTTAACATTATTTGTTCTTGCAATATATGCCATCCTTGTAATCGAAAAGTTCTATGACCAATTGCGCTGTGAAGAATCTGAAGAGCATCTTCATTTTGCCCAATAAATTGCAATTCTTCTGCTCTCTTGAGAGCATTTTCTGGTTTTTGAAATGTTTGCATAATTTACCACTTAATATAAATGAATTTATATAATATATATATAAATATATATATATGCATCAATTGAAATATTATATGGCTATAATATCCTTAACATATGTTAAAATAAAACCATCAATAGTATATTGTAGTTTAATTATATTTTTATTTTATTTATAAAAAAGAAAAATGTTCCTTAAAAAAATTTTTTTTTTATTTTATTAAAAATGATACATTCATGTAAATATGTATGTACATATATATATATATATAAATATATATATTTATATATATACATATTTTATTACATATACTTTTCTATTTTTAATATTTTAAATTGAAATAAAAATTATATATAATTCAAAACATTTTTAAGAGTACACTACATTATTTGTTATGTAAAAATAAGTAATAAAAATAAACGTGTAAGTAGTATTACATTATTAAAACTCATTTATCATAATTCTACATTTTTAATTTTAAAAAAAATGAAAAAAACTTATATATCTCTATATATATTTACACAATAAAAATACTTGTATAAATAAAAAAAAATTTTGAAAAATTACAAAATTTTATATAAAAATCATATATATTATATCAACTTTTTTTTTAATATTTTTTTTTTATTATTCCTTCTTAAATTTATTTATAAATTATACTTATATATATATAAAATAATAATAATTAAAATATATAAAATGATATAAAATTGTATGAAAATTAAAAAAAAAATAAATAAAAAAACAAAAAATATGTTATTAATTTATTTTTCATATAAGGGGATAAAAAATTGTAAAAAAATGTATACATTTGATAAAATTTTTTTTTCTTTTAGTATTTAATTTTTATTATATATTTATATAATTTTATTTTGGAACTTTTATTTTTTTTAATTCTTGATTAAAAAATATATGAAAAAAACAAAAAAAATGTACTTTTATTTTTAAATAGTATTATTTTAAATGAAAATATATAAAGTTGAAAAAATAAATTTACATATACATTAATGGATTGATATATAATATTTATAGAATATTATATTTAAAATGAACTAGAAATTTTTTTTTTTTTTTTTTTTTTTTTAATATCTTTTTCATTTAAGAACACTTTTCAATATGAATCTACAAGCTGAGAACTATTCAAAATACCATAAAAAATATACACGTATATTTATGCATACGCTTTTTATAATTAGCATGACAATTTTTTTATTGTAAAATAAATATCAGTTACACTCCAAAAGAAATTTTATTTGTATATTTCTTTTTTTATAATTATTAAAAATTAATTTTAACCTATTTGAAAATATCGTTTAAAATAAAAAAAAAAAAATTAACGTATTTTTTACAATTTTTTTTATAGCGATTAATCTATTTTATATTTATCATATTTTGTACTCAAAAATTATTGGTATCCATGAATACGCAAGTATTTCTTAAAATTTATCATCCTTTTAAACACTTCATAATACTTAAAAAATTGTTCTTTTCAGTATTTAGTTTTTACAGGGGTCAATTATTAAATTATTTTTTTTTAATTTTTTATTTTATATTCTCTTTTTATTTTTTAAAGATAAGGTTAAATATGCAAATTTATTTTTATTACATTTGAATTATAAGGATGTGATATTACTGTAAAATAAAAAAATTAAATTTTTATTTTATAGTGGAAATATAGCACAAAAAAGTAAATTAAGATACAATGCATATATTTAAGCATATATGGAATTATAATACATTATTACTATCCTAATATGCTATCAAATTATTTTAGGATGAAAGTATAAAATTATAAATAAAAACAAAATCGATTTTTTAGTAGTTTATCTTAACTTTAAATAAAATGAACTATAATATACTATTTTTTTACAAAAAATATAGTAAATCGTATGCTAGAAAAAAAAAAAAAAAAAATCATAGAATAAATTATTATTTACTAATTATTTACCTTATCCTTTTTTATTTATATAAATAAATATACAACAGAATTTTTGAATTAGAAAAGAACTTTTTAAAATTCATGTTATTTATCATCTTTTTTAGTACAATATAGATTGTTTTAAAAAATTAATGTGTAAGAGAAATTTTTTCTTCTTAATAATACATCTAAGTAAGGATGACGTAAATTATAGTATATACATTTTTTTTTTTAATTGACATTATTTTTTTAAATTAACAGTTTTATAAAAAGAATATATATAATATAATGTTTTGTTTTCATTTCCTTTTTTTGTTGCTTCTCTATGTAATATATACAACATGAGATTCTATAAAAAACTTGTGCATGTATAGATAAAAGGTAAATGAGCTATTTTATAACTCTCGAATTATTTTCTTCATTAATGGAATACTTTTAAACTACTTACATCTAATTGAATAATTATTTTAAAACTTTTTATGTGAATTGAGATCATAAAATGTATAATATTTAAAATGAAATGGCAATAAATAATTAATTGCTTGTATAGTTCATTGAAAATTATATATATAAACTAATATAAAAAGTTTTTTTTTTTTTTTTTTTTTTTTTAAAATAATTTTAGGAATAAATGTTTTATAATTTTAAAAAACAATGTAAAAATATATAAATTGAAATGTTTAAAACAAGTTATAAGGTTTGTATAATATCATATTCTTAATATTCATAGCGAAAGCTTTTATTTTGATGAATTCGTTTTTAAAGTACATAGTGTGTGTTTAAAAGATCCTATTTAACTATATAAAATTATATATGTATATTTTTTTTAAGTTTTTACAACATATTTAAATATATTAAAAGTAATAAAATGTAAAACTTTTTAAATTTAAATAAAATAATTTAAAATGAAATTGGATAATATGAAAATGATAAAATGAAAAAAGTAGCATGCATTGAAATATTCGAAGGTAGGAACTTTTTAACATTATATTTTTTTATAAAATATGTTTTTTTTTAAATATTGCAGTTTTCTATTTTTTTATTTTGTATTTATATTTCATAATATTTTGTTTATATTTTAAATTTTTTATATTTTTTTTTTTTTTTTGTTTTTTAAGTTAACATATATATATTTTAAGTAATTAAATTTATTGTATTTTGTACACATTATTTTTTAACAAAATTTTATGAATTCATAAAAAAAACAATTTGAGAAATAGTAACAATAGAAAAAATTTTCATAAATATATATATATATATGTATTTACTGATTGAAAATTAATATTATTTTTATGTATATTTTATTTTATATATATGTATATATATGTAAATTCTTTTTTTTTTTTTTTTTTTTTTTTTTTTTTAAATGATAAAAAATGATAAACAAAAATGAATTAAAATTTGTTATAAATTTATTTAAGTATAAATCATGGAATTATTGTAATAATGTAAGATTTTCAACTATTCAGGAATCATTAAATAAAAAATCTATAAATAAAGAGTCAGTGAACAAAGAATATAATGAAATAAAGAAAGATGAAGAATCTCAATTAAAAAAATTTTCAATATTTAGATATAATCCTGAAAATAATAAAAGGCCAAAAATGCAAACATTTGAGGTGGATATAAATAATTGTGGGCCAATGGTTTTAGATGTCTTAATAAAAATTAAAGATGAAATTGATTCAACATTATCTTTTAGAAGGAGTTGCAGAGAAGGTATATGCGGAAGTTGTGCAATGAATATTGATGGAAAAAATGGCTTAGCTTGTTTAACAGAAGTAAATAAAAACAAAAATGAAATTACAGAAATACATCCTTTACCAAATTTATATGTAATGAAAGATTTAGTGCCAGATTTAACTAATTTTTACAATCAATATAAATCTATTGATCCGTGGTTAAAAAGAAAAACAAAAAAAGAAAAAGGGCAAAAAGAATTTTATCAGTCGATTGAAGATAGAAAAAAATTAGATGGTCTATATGAATGTATAATGTGTGCGTCTTGCTCTACATCGTGTCCTTCTTATTGGTGGAACCCCGAATATTATTTAGGTCCAGCTACATTAATGCAAGCTTATAGATGGATAGTTGATAGTAGAGATGAATATACGAAAGAACGATTAATGGACATTAATGATACAATGAAGTTATATAGATGTCATGGAATTATGAATTGTACAATGTGTTGTCCTAAGGGGTTAGATCCAGCTAAAGCTATTAAAAATATGAAACAGCTAATTCAAGAAAATTTTTCAAAAGACAATATAAAATCACATTCCACTTACATTAAAGAAAAAATGAAGAAAACGGATTAATAATAGATTAAAAAAGTTTCTTAATTTGTAAAAATATATTTGCAAATCCTTATTTTTACTTTTTTTTTTCCCATTTATTTGTAAGAATACATTTTAATATATTCTATATATTAATCATTATTTTTTTTATTTAATATTCTTATTTATGAAGTTTTTTTTTTTTTTATTGTCCATTAAATGCATTTTCCTTATACTTCATTTGAACAAATATCTTTTTATATTATTCAGTTAATAATTTTTATTATATTTTAATCTATCAAACTATTTTTTAAACATATTTTTTTATTTTACAAGTGCTTATATTTTTTATTTTATTTAGCTCAATTTTTTTTTTTTTTTTTTTTGTTCATATAACAAATATAATTTTATGTTTATTCATGTGGCTTCTATTATTATTTTGCTTTTTTCTTTTTCTCATTTAAATTAAAAAAGAAAAAAAAAAGTTTAATTTTAATTTATGTCCTTTCAATAAATAATATATACTATTATGTTATTAGTTTTCAAACTTTTATTTTAAATATGAAAAATGAAGAAACTTAGCAAAATGAAATACATGCTCTTTTATTTTGAAAACTATCTCATAAATAAAAGTTTTTCATTTTTATTTTTACCGATTTTATGATGCTAATTATTCTCTTACAAGCTAAAAAAAAAAAAATTTCTAATATATTTTTACGTTTTAAATTTATATTTTACTTATTTGTTAACATATATATTTTAACGTAAACAACAAAAAGAATAAAGAATGTTAGTTAAATTTCTCTTCAAAATTAAAAAGTATACAAAATTTTTATAAGGCACAAAAGAATAATAAAAAAATAAAGTATATATATCTAAAAAAAAAAATGTGTTTATGTTCATAATTTAATTTTTTTTTAAGTTTACTTTGTAAATGCATATTCTTCTTTTTGAAAGAAACAATAAAAAGCAAAATGGAAAATATACTTTATAAGTACCATAGAATATTTGTTTTTACAGGAATACATATAAATACATAAGTATACAACAATATTATTAATCTGTTTAACTAAATAATACATGATAAAAAGAAATTTTACAATCTTTATATATAATTTTAAAAATAATAATTTCTTAATTATTTTTCCTTTCAAAGATTTATATATCATACTACTTTTTTATTGTTAAATTTTTTCTGAACTTTCGATTTTTACATAAATTAATTTTCCTAATTTTATAAATTTCTTTTCTTTTCTTTCTTCCAATTATATTTTTAAAAAATTTCAATATACATCCCGTTGTTTAATTTATAAATTAAAACATTTATATATGTTTATCATACAAATTTATTAAAGTTGTTAATTTAATGACTTACTTTTACATACTTTATATTAATGCATCTTTAAATCTTTTTATTTCTCTTCATACATCTACTATATAAATGTGTTAACATTTATTAATTTATTTATCTTTATTATTCTGTATGTATGTATATTCTAATTTATTCATTTTATTTTATCCTTTTATTTGCTATACTTCCATAGATTTACCTATTTATATCCATATATATATATGATTTTTATTATTAAATGTTTATATATTTATTCATGTAAATATCTATGTATATTTTTATTTGTTAATATCTATTAATTAAAATATATGTCTTCATCAATTTCTATAAAAATGCAAATGAAATTTCCATTTTTATTTTTTCTAATTATTCAATATCTAAATTTATCTATATTTTAGCATCATATCCTTCAGCTATTAATTCTTTTTTATTTATTGGAGCATTAGTTTGATGTTGAGTTAAGATGGCTTGTTGAATAACTTGTCCTTTCCATTCAGGCCAAGCACTTTCTGAATTTTTAAGATTTTTCTTTTGATTTTTTGGTGTATCCATAGATGCTAAAAAATCAGCATGCATTCCCATAACATCTTCTCTAATTTCTAAATTTTTTTTATTTTCATCCACCGGTTTGTATTGAGGCAATGATTTTCTTCTATTACTATCAAAAAATCTATTTGATATTTCTTTTTTTCTTTCATTGGAGAAATGCCTTTTTACTTTTTTTTTATCGTAAGAATCTGAATCCATATCTGAATCACTTTCTGATTCAGTTTCATCACTGGATGTTGAATAGGAAGAGGAATCTGAGGAGTTTGATGAAGATGAATCAGAAGAGTTAGATGACGATGATGAATATCTACTTGTTCTATGTTTATCATAATGCGTATTATTTTTCAAATAGTTTTTATTTCCTATATTTTTACCACATATTTTTCCTTTACCTATATTGCAATTAGGAATTTGTTCTGATGATATTAAAGAAGCTTTATATTGTTCCAAATTTATTCTACCCATATGATTAATATACAGAAAGATTCTTTTTTGTTTTTCAATAGATAATAAATCGGTATCGAATGTAAAATATCTATCAAACATATGATTCTCCGCCAATATACCTAAATCATCTTGTATTATTTCTAATGCTGCTCTTCTTTGATTTGGTGCTAATCTTCGTAAATTTTTGAAAAGTAATTTTACTTGATAATTATTTAGACCTTTATCATTAATTCCTATTTTTTGAATTCCAGGTGGATCTGGAATTGTTCCCATACTTGGTGGATCAAAATCAATATCATCTGCTGTTAGAGAATTTTCTTTTTTATTTCTATTATTTTCACGGGAATTTTTCAGGGCATTTGTTGTAATTTTATTAGTTTTATTAATTTTTTCTCCTTTTTTATTTTTATTTTGCTGTAGATATATTTGACTTGAATTCATATTATTTAATGATCCTATCATATTATTTTTTTTTCCTAAGTTTTTACTATCATTTTTATGATAGTTATAATTACCAGTACTCATATCATCACTACTATTACTACTTATAGTACTGCTATTTGTACTACTATTATTGTCATCATGACTATATTTATCATTTAATATTTCATTATATTGTTTCATATCTAGATAGATAGAATTGGTATTTTTTGTATATTCATTTAATATTTTTTTCATTTCTGAATTTTCTTTTATTAATTTATCAAATTCTTTAGCTAATTTATAGGCATCATTCCAAACATCATTTTTTACTTTATGGTAAGTAAATGCATTGAAAAATATTTGTCTTACATCTTGTTGCCATTCAAATGGATTATCATATTTATTATTTAATAATTTTTTTTCTATTGTTTCGAAATCCATTGGATAAGTAATAACATTTAAATAATTAGGTACTCCATCTAATTCTGGATTTACTGGTTTTAAAAACCAACAACTACTTTCTTTTTTTTTTAATTTATGTAATATTTTAAAACAATAATTTTTCCAAGGATTTTTTGTTTTATAATTTCTTTTTTTATATGTCTTGTTGTGTTGTTCATATTCTTCATTCAAATTATCATATTGTAAACTAATATTTCTTTGCCTTTTCTTTTGCATCTCTTTTGCATCCTCTTTTTTACTAGAACATTTAGACATATTTCCTGTTCCAACATTTGATATAGAACCATATGAATTTTTACAATTTTTATTATCTGTTTCATTTTTTTTTAAACTTTTATTATATATCTTTTCATGTTCATTTGATCTTGCATTAACCATTCCACTTTTAGTATATTTTTGAGTTACACTATTTTTCTCATTTATATAATTTGATTCTTTTGTATTACATTTTTTATCATCTTCATTTGATATATTTTTTGTATCTTTGTCATTTTCTTTACTACCTAATTCTTCTTTTGAGTAATATTTGTCGAATGACTTTTTCGATTTTCTCTTTCCAGCATCATATATATTATTAGATAAAGAACAGCGTAAATTTTTGATTTCATTTAAATGCCTTTTAGATATAGAAGAATAGGTGTTTCTTTTTTCATTTTTAAGTTTTTCAATAGGAATTTCAATAAATCGAAATCCCAATGAATTTACTGTATTTGATATATATGCATATTCTTCTTCAGTTAAGTTCAACACTCCTCTTTCGAAACTTCTTATTTCTTCTAAATTTTTTAAAAACATAGTTTCAAATTCATTAGCTTTTTCTTTTTCATAATTCAAATTTCTATCTTTATTATCTTCATTTTCTTTGCTTTCATCAATCAAATCTAAGTTATTT